GCCAATGTAAGGCCTGGTGTGACCTCTGCAGTTCTAGGGATGCATTTGGCTCATTGAGTCTCCTCACATTACAAAGTCCTGCCAAACAAATGGGGAAAAGCATGTGAAAAACAGATGAACATTTTTCTTTCTTTCTTTCTTCTTTTCAGGAAAATCAGGACATATGGAAAAAGCTTAACTCCTAATGGGATTAAACTGCCAAGTTTATCCACCTTTGTACCAAAAAAGCCCTATAGATACATGTGACTTGCAAAAGTATCCTGGAGTGTGCTGTGTCTTTTCCACTTGGATTACTCCCAATACACACAATGTTCTACTTTGCATTATAGCTGTGCCAATTGAAGAAAATAAAACTGAAGTAGCAGATAATAAATTCAAGAACCTGAAAGCTCACAATAATTGAAAAAAAAATCATAGGTCTTAATGCAGGAAGAAAGCACTTTTATCGTCTTGTCAGAACTCCTAAATAACACAGATTACAGAATTTTGTCAGGGAATTACTGTATTAAAAACCTAGTAACAGGCATATTGACACTTGAGTGTATCTTTAGGGGACAAAAATTGACTCATTTGTTCAGTATGCCTACTCCTGAGCTGAATGAATGGATGAATTTCCTTAAAAAGGTGATCCATCCAAAGACCCCAGAGCACCAAGGAAGGTATCTCTAAATATATGGACTTGGTGCTTACCTTCCAGATTACATTTCGTGAGCACAGCCTGTCCCAGTGCAGCACATGCAGTTCCAAAAATTGATTTGTACTTTTCTGAGTCTTATAGCTGAATTTTGGTTAACTTAAAGCTGATTTCTGCTTTTTCTGAGCTTTGTACTTTGCCTTTGCATATTTATGGCTAATTTCTGAGATCTGAAAAATCTACTGAATGATAAAGGCTCTTAGACCACTCCGTGGGAAGAAAAAATAAATTATCTCGATCTCAAGCCTTTAGCAACACAGAAACTGTCTAAAGACTTGAGAATGGCGTGATGTGGTTGAATCCGTGGGAGAGTGTTTTCATAGCTGCAGCTGGCATAAAGCAATAGGTAAGGCCAGAGGGATGAGAGGCAATTCCAACAAGAAGAGCAAAACAACTTTTGGGAGATGAGAGGGAGTACAGCTTTACAGAGAAAAATTACAAGCTGTTGTTGCAGCAAGTGTACGTAGCTACCTAAGGTGATTGTGGTGCCTGCCCGGCTATGGAGGCAATGTGCATCTTATTGTTCTTGTTACCACCTCTCCAGTGCCTTACCTGACCTCTGTGTTTAGATGAGTTTCTTTGAAGCCCGGAGACATAACTTTCTGTCTGCCTCCACAGCACCCAGTTCACACTGTGGCCCCCCAACCTGTGGGGTGTTTGTACTCATGGACTAACAGCTACAGCCAGGAGGAAAGCCTCAAGTGGACAACAGGTGGTGGACAGATTAAAGGACAGGCATATGATTATTACAAAATCAAAAGAGTAGAAAAATCTCCCTTAATTAAAGGGATATTAAGAACAGACAGAATTAGCACAGCATATATAATAAATAGAAAACAAAAATACTTTGCATAGTTGAATGGGTTTATACAAACATTATTTTTTTTTCATCAGTCAGGAGTTCTCGCCTTCAGTTACAGGAATCATAAAAAGTGTCACCGAAATCCAGCCAACTATGTGAGCATTGGCACAGAGCAGTCTTTTAACAACTCACACCAACATACACAAGAGTGCATAGTCAGGAGGCAAAGACAGCCCCAACTAAAATGACTCAAAACAGACAGCCGCTCATTAATCTTGGATGAATCTGTCCAGCGCACAACAGTTAACAAAAGCTTTTGTGACAATTATTGTGGTAATGTTAATGACTATAAGATAGAGCCCTATTAAGTCTCAGTTTAGACCCCTTCAATGACAATAATGATGCTTTGCCATCCTGCTGCAGCTGATGATCTGGCCTCCTCAATGAGCAGAGCACTGATTTTTATCCACCATCTTTAAGACAGCATGTTTGGCACCACAGGGTGACTTGGAAACTATGCTGGCGTGGCAAGCAGTGAAGTAGCCTTCATATAATATGCAAAATCACTCAGAAACCTCTTTGAAGGGTTAACAAGGCAAATCTTTGTACAGTTAATAATATTATCCTTGTCAAAACATACTTCTCCTATCACATATTTCTTTACTGTAACTAAAGCTATACTCCAGCCCTCCCCACAAATCCTAGGCAATGCTGAGCAGTCACATTCCTCCTGCATTGTTTAGAATAAATGTTTACTCCAAGGCCTAAGTGTTCTCAAAAAGAGAATGAGAAAATGGCATCTGGGTTATGTATATATTTTTACCACAGATCATTAACGCGGGAGTTGGCTATGCATCCCACTCCTTATTCAAGTAGGAACTGAAGACTAAAGCAGACGTGGTGTTACGCCAAGTTGGGGAGAATGCTACCACGTGGAAGTAGATACTAGTTTGCTCTCTGCAAGATCCATTCATCTATATGAAAATCGTCAGTTCACGGTTTTGTGTGATTTTCCACATATGTCATAGACATCAGTTTAGCATGGCCTTTTTAATCCTACCCCTGTATCTATGCATGCTTGAATGTGTGTATGTGTGTACATTTTAGAAACAGCCAGTTGTGAGACAAACTTTTGCTAATTGACTGGTACTGGTAAAAATTCCTCCCTGTTTAATAACTTCTTGACTACTTTGCATCCTTGCAGTTGAGTCTGTCTTTACTGGCTGACTTCTCCCTCCCTCTTGTTTATGTTGCTGTGAGTTATTAAGGGACTGCTCCATGTGAAACAAGAGGAAATACCAGTATTTTTTCATCTCTGCATTTTAACTCTCTGTTCTGTTACACATTTTGGGAGACACACAAAAAGTAGGAGAGAGGTGACAGAGTAGAAATTGGAGAATGTCTTGCTATACTGTGCCTTATCTTAATTAGCGAATGGCCATTTCCCCAGCCAGAATATTTTATCTAAGAGTAAATAGTCTTCCATTGTTGTAGTTATCTGAACACAATATTCTTTTAATGTACTCTTTCCAATATCCCTGTGAGGTAGCTATTAGTAGTTATCATAGATAATATATAATTTTATTATCATCATCATCATCTTTATGATATAGATAACAAACACAAAGAGGGAAAGGTCCATATCCTGTGTAAACTGAGATTTCAGGAAGAATTTAGAGACCAAAAAGCAAAAAATCATTATTTTATCTCTTATGTTACCCTCTGGACATAATACTATAGAAGTTTCCATTTTTACAAGAGAAGGTCTGTATCTCAGCAAACACAGATGTGATTCAATATCAAACGGGCTGAGAGATCATTTTTCTGTCCAATGCCTACAAGTGATTGGGAATATCTAATGAGGTGTTCCTCCAGCTACAATGGACTGAGGGGGATCTGATCCAGTATATGTACTCTCAGAATATCCTGTACATGCCTACTATGTGCCAAACATACTGTTGGTTATTGCATTCATTAACACAAAGAAATGGTTGTAAAAGGGTTCTTCTATTCAGGAATTTAATAGCTAGAGTGTTTGCAGGGTCCCAGATTCAATTCTCACTTCTGCTGAGCAAGTTCAAACCCATACACCCTACCTTCCAGCCTAAGCTGTAGGTTACTCAGCAGAGTATCTGCCTCCTCTCCTCCTCCTAAGAAGAGTCACAATTTTCAAAGAAGAACTTGAGAACTGGCAGGACTCATTACTCCAGTGGTTAGGGAAGTCCCTTGAGAGTTGGTGACATGGTTGCCAGATCTTTCCCCAAGATTAGCTTATATATTCTACTTGAAGGCTGTTTCACGTATATCATTGGTTTAAATTCAGTAGGGCAAATTGCCAATAATATTCCCAAACACTGCGTTTTGTTGGTTTCAGATTACTGATGGTTTCTCAGTTTTTAGCAGTTAAGGCCACTCCCCCATGCAAAGCGCCTACCCTTGACAGCATCACTTCATCGGCATGCAGTGGGGCTGCTGGACAGCCTGCAATGCACGTATACAATATGGAGGGGAGGAATGCTGTAGGGAGGGTGAGGCAGAGAGGTCACATGGCAAAACTGGGATGAAGAATAAGGAGGGATTCATTTAGGAATGAATTACAACAATGTTTAAACAAAAAACTCGCAGTATATTCAGCAAAGGACCTAACGTGGGGTCCCTTGGGAAAATGAGGCTATCACTTCATAAATAGTCACGTTGTAGCATCAAATGAGATCCTTCGGCACAGGGACAAGCTGAATTCTGCAATTTCTGTTTAAGTGCTTGCCTTTGCAACCTAAACAACATTTATTTTAACGGTACTTAGGTATAAATAAAGATGAAAGGAGTAAGAATGTAAACACAGCATACCAATTTGGGTCCATTTCTCATTGCAAGTGGCTTAGCCTAAGGCATTGGAGCCTCTGCCTCACGTTCTCACAAGTTTCAGACAGCATACTGGCTTTGTTTGTCCTTTTAAAGAGGGTTATGAAAAAGTGAAATAATAAGTTTTGCACTAAAGGTTAAAGTAATTAGCTTAGAAGACCACTAACATAAATATTATTAAAATGTGTAGCTAAGTGCTATGTAAACTATTACTGCACTGAAGCATGTGAGGAGAGCTAAATAACACGAGCACAAGAGAAATCTTAAGTAGGGCTAAACTAGTAGAAGAAGAAATACTCATCAATTCAAAATCACTGCCTCAAAGCCAGTGACTCTAAGTTGTATAAGTACTATTTCATCTGCTTTCAAATAAGATCTTATCATAGATGACTGGGTCACTATCATTCTCCAAAGCAAGAGAAAACTTGCTAGCTAATTTGAGAACACATCTTTTCTTTCTGTGTGGCTGGATTTTTGGCATACCATAGCTCGGCGCTATTTGGAGCCTTGTAAAAGTCACTTATCTGAGCCTATTGGTAGCTGAATGGAGTACCGCGAACATTTTGCTGGAGCTGCCAGCGAAATAACAGCACCCCGAGGATTAACTTCTTCTCGGCTAAAAAGAAAGCGAGCCTGTGTTACCGCAGCATAATGGCCTTCATCTGTAACCTAGATCTTGGCTGTTTTCTTTCAAATGCTTTTTCACTACGCTATCAGGAAAGGAAAAAAACCCGCACAGTTCACAGGGAACTTCACAGTATCTAATGGTGCCAGTAGGAACATGCTGTCCCTCCCTTGAGCCCTTTCAGAGAAAGCCTGAGAAAAAGGAAAGTGTCTCAGAAATCTTTCTTGGAGAGAGGTATGGGGCAGTACAGGGAGCAGGGGACAAGCACTATTCCCTCATAAGGAAACAGCTAGAAGATAAGCATCCCTGTGTGCTTTGCTGCCCTAACGTGTGGATCTAGGGAACAGGAGGGGCTACTGCCACTGCAGTTTCTGATTACTCAGCCATTGAGAGCAAGGGACCAGGAGCTACCGTGGTATGTCACATAGCAGTCCAAAGTGCTGACCACTGCCTGCAAACCTCAGTGTCTCATCCTGACTTCTGGGAGGGGCTGGGTCTAAAATAAAAGCAGGGAAGGTCACCTTAATAGCCTCTGACTACCAGCTTGTTCTATGCCCAAGGGAACAAGGCATTTGCATCTCCCACAGGCATTTAGACCTTTCTGTCTAAAATACGATACAGCTTCTCCTGCTGAAAATTTTTCAAGCAAGCTTCTAACATGAAGGATGACATAGAGCCTGAGTCTGCAAATGCTTGGGTTCAAAAATACTTTTCCTCCCATGAGACAGTCTGTCGGCTGATCACAAGTCACGGTGCTGGAGCAGGAAGGAATAAATCCCAGACCCTGTCCACGCTGAAGGCCAGTCAGTGTAACTGTGGAACAACTGCACTGACTTCAAAAGGGGGCAGTGTTAAATTAATGTTGAGTCCTTAGAAAATGTTACCCCATTTACTTTGAGAGCTGTTACTTAGACAACATTCTAGTTCTTTGTGAGAGATTTATCAGATATAGAGTAGAAATCTAAGAGGCTATCTGGAACTGGTAAAGGTAGGTAAGTTGGAAAAGGGAAACTTAAAAATTTAGACATCTAACTTCAAGTGCCTCAGTTCAGAAACAGCATGTGTATATAGTCAACAGAGAGAAATAATCTATTAGAGCCCAATCCCTCCTTTGCTAATCCAAACTGTTCATACCTACATCTATCCATTTACTCTGCAAGGTGCCCAAACAGACAGCCTTGTTATTGTAAACTCTACATCCAAGAAACATAATAAAATACATCTCCTTACCCGCTCTGTGAGGAGCTCTCAGGTACGTGATACATGAAGACATTTCCTCTGGAGGCAGCAGCCCAGTGACTGGCCATGTTTATGATGGGACACGTGATAAACTGGTCACTGATAAAAAAGGAGGAGCAGGGAACAGACTCAGTCACATAACAGAAAAAAGGAAAGGAAAAAAAAAAAAACCACAACCAAAGACCGCTTTTCTATATTGATAGCCTTCTTTAAATCTTCCAAAACAGGTCATATCTCTGCCTTCAAGTGCACTGAGGGAAACCACATTCACCCTCTATGAGCCCATTACAGCTTATAATTCACTAAAATTGCTGTTTTATGGAGTGTTGAACTTGTAAACTCTACATCCAAGAAACATAATAAAATACATCTCCTTACCCGCTCTGTGAGGAGCTCTCAGGTACGTGATACATGAAGACATTTCCTCTGGAGGCAGCAGCCCAGTGACTGGCCATGTTTATGATGGGACACGTGATAAACTGGTCACTGATAAAAAAGGAGGAGCAGGGAACAGACTCAGTCACATAACAGAAAAAAGGAAAGGAAAAAAAAAAAAACCACAACCAACAGACCGCTTTCTATATTGATAGCCTTCTTTAAATCTTCCAAAACAGGTCATATCTCTGCCTTCAAGTGCACTGAGGGAAACCACATTCACCCTCTATGAGCCCATTACAGCTTATAATTCACTAAAATTGCTGTTTTATGGAGTGTTGAACAATGGTAACATTACTAAAGAAACAAGATCTGACACATAAGGAGTATCCTGGCCAAAAGAATCCCATTTTAGTCTAGTTTATGGGGGCCCATGCTTGTAATAGTATAAAGCTCCTTCTTCTGGCACCACTAGGTTGCAACAGCATCTAGTAAAAGGACTTATATATTTTCTGGGTTAAGGATCAATAATATTGTTCCTGCATTTGGATCTGTGTGATTTTTTTGGATATAGTTTCCAGAGCTGGAAGAAGTAAGAGACCACTTTTGGAGCTGTTCTGCAGGGCCTCTGGCAGGGCTCATCAATATGGAATATCTGGTGCAGTATATCTGGGAGAGAAAGGTTAAACAAGAAGAGTGCAATGAGATAGTTAAATGATCAGTTTATCACCAGGTATTGCAATACAAAGGTATGAGTGTAACAAATATATCCAAACCTTCCTAGCTTCCACTGCCACAAGAAGTGGGGCTGGAAGGTGGGGTGAGCAGTAGCTGGAAGGAGCACAAGCAATTCAAGAGGGGCAGGCAGAAAACAGGACACCTTACTGCAAAGTATCTCGTTATGATTCCTCAAGGCAATATTATATACACACATATCAGCATTTCTCATTCTACATGTTCTCAAAGACTCAGCACGCTCTTTGGGTGTTTATATATCCATAACTACATGAGCACACACAAACCTATCTGCTGCGGAAGTAGGAGGTTTCAATTCTCAGTCTAGTGAATCTGAAACAGTAGCTGCTCCTTCAAACTTGGTAGGTAAAAAAAGAATGATGGCAAGAAAGAACAGTGTCAGAGAAGCATAAAAACATGTTGCTATATTTAACTGGTATGATTATGAAAGGCACTGTTTGGGTAGCTATCTTGGTTCAGCAGAGTTTATTTTAAGCCCATCTGTGAGACCACAAGCTATGGGCTGACTGACCACAATACTCTGACAGTTATGGTTGACGACACCCATATGAAATGAAAATTACTGTTCTTCACATGCCTACCAGCATGGGGTTTTAGAGGAGCAGATGGTCTTTCAAAACTAGGGAGTCTGTGGAGAGCATTAGCTCTCGAGAAATGCTTTGAGATACATTTCACCACTTAAAACTGATTCTCAGTTGGTGCTATGGGGGAAAAAAGTCAGCTATTCTGGGGAAGTAAAAAAAAATTTAAAAAATAGTAACCACAAAAATGAAATGGCTGTTTCTTACAGAGTTAAAGAAAAAAAAAAAGGAAAGAAAAAGAAAATGAAACTCATTTTATAGCTGGGAAAATTACCAGAGAATTGCAGCTAAAACAATTTTAAAAGTGGAAATATTTTAAAACCACAAAATATGCACAACGTATGTAGCTTATAACAATGACTTATGTTGCTTTCTCACTTTATAATCCTGTTAAAACATTAGTAATTAATTATAACTTCCTGACATAGAACTTTTCTTGGGTTACACACCTATGCTGGTAGTAAGTTTTTTGTTAAAAAAAACCCAAACAAAACCACCAACCAAAACAAACAAACACACACACACCAAAAAACCAGAACCAAGACCTTCTTTTCTCCACCATGTATGTGATACTGATGTAGATGACTCTCATTCTGTAACTGCTGTCTCCCTCACTTTCTCCTGTAGCTGGAGTAATTTCCAAAGTGTTTAAAGCAAAGGTTTATCATCAGATGTCCTGGTTTCACTACTCATCCTTCTGCTTGCTCCTGATGACTCTTTAAGACATTCACTTCTTTCCTTAGTCAAGTCATTTGCCTCATATTGCAAACAAGCAGGTAATCCCTATGGCCATGAGGCTGCTGCGGGGCGCTTGCAGGCTGAGAGCCAGAGGAGCTATTTGTGTATTGCATTCCTGCTGCATGCAAGCAGTGAGCTAGCCATCATAGCTTTGCAAAAGTCAGTGTTTGCACCACGCTGAGCCCTGGGCTGAACGTGGATGATCAAATGCGACAGCCCTGTGTTATAACAGCTCCTTATGGAGGTATCTCTGGATGGGGAAAAGGGTTAAAATGTAAGTCCTTCAGTATTTTATTGTGGCTTAAAACCTTATTGATCTGACTAAAGAATTATAGCCCCATGGGTAACGGTGGTGATGGAAAGAGATTGAAGATGAGTTCTGGCTTTAATGCCCATGAACCACAGTGCTTCCATGTGGGCTGCATGCAGTGGCCCCAGATGCCACAGGGATGGGTGGCCTGTCCCTGGGACAGACCACAAGGCAGGCAAATGCGGCATGGTGCAAGACTCGATAAATGGCAGAAAGCTCAACCCACAGCCTTCTGGTTTGTTCACTCCGTGACCTCACCTGGACCACCCAGAAACCTTCCCCAAACAGATTTGGTCACTGCTGTCTTGGATCAGATGTTTCCAAGTGAATCTTGGTTCCTGTTCACCTCCTGCTCCCTGAGGCTCCCCTGGAGCAACACCCTGCAATTCTGATGGAGGACAAAGACCTTCTGAAAGGAAAATCTCGTCTCTAAGGTCTCATGGAGAGGCTCACAGTGGGACAGAAAGCTGTAACACCGAGAGCACAGATACCAGGACCTTGTAGCTATGACATCTCAGTTCAGAACAGAGGTGAAACAGCTCGGACAGGCACACTAGGACTCAAACCACCAGCTTATAAAACACATCACCTTAGAAATGTAAAGAGTTTTCATAACGAATCTGCTTGTGAAGCAGAGACAGGAATAGGGAAAGAGTTTTTTGATTCATTTTCTGAAAATCTGTTCCACTTAAATATTCAGCCCCCAAGTTTGCACAGAGGCAGGAAAAAGGAGGTAAGGAGATTTCCCCTCAGTTTGCCTCCTTTCAGAAAAACGGGCCCACCCCGCTACAGCTCAAGATCCGTAACTGGCTAAAGCAAACTGGCTGCCCATGGGGGAGAGAGCAAAATCTACAGTCTTCTCTGCAGACCAACCACCATGTGACCCAAGCTAAAGATATCCATCAGTCTCTATGGCCTACCACAGGTGTCATGACTGCTGTGGAGTCCTAGTTCAACAGGGCAATGAACTCTTCAAACTGACTGTTATCCAGAACTGCTGGACCCTGATGCCATACCCAATTAAGGGTAGAAGCTATGCATTATATACTAGGTAGTGAGAACATGGCCTATTGCTCATCTTCTACTTCCCAATGGTCCCTGTCTGCAATGTTTCAATGCAAAGTATGGGAGTGTATATACTGGAGGTAAGTTGCTCATCCATCTGCTGACATTTCATCATTTCCTTCGGAAGAGGCTGGGAGGCACTGTGAGTCTACAGTGTGCCCTGATGGATCAAACAGGGCAAGAGTCAGATATCGTGTGTTCTCCTTTCACCTCCACAAGAAGACTTCCTAGAGGAGCATCCTAATGCCTGGTTCTGTTTTCTCTCACCATGGGAAACCATACACAAAGGGAGCAAAATGTGGGTTGGGTGACATTATACAATCACTGTACACTGGCATAAATTATTACACAAGGGTCAAGGAAATACATGAATAAGCCTTAAGGGGATTCTTCTGCCATAGGTAAAATGGAGATTAGCAATGCACAGAATGGGGTTGGGAGCCACTTTTCTGAACATTCACAAATGCTTCACCTTTTTACACAGGTTACTCACCTGTAGAAAGCCTGACATTGTGAAGAAATATATTTTGCAGGTTTCGTATAAAAATTAATGTAATTGCTGAAATCAGTTTTCAAACTTGACCACTCTCCAAATTTGCAAAAACTAGGAAAAGTATGCAACTGTATAATTAGGTGACTGTTTGTGAATAAAAGCCAGTCTACTAGTTCTTATACTGTCACAGGGATGAGAGGACTCAAGAAATAGTTGATGCAGAGTGTGCAAACAACCAAGACATCTTTGACATGAAAGAGTACACAAAGAAGCATTAGTAGTCTGGATCGTTCAGGAAAGACAATTCAAACTTTTCACAAGGCATAAAAGTCAGTTCAATTTCTGTTTACCAATGACACTGGAAACCTCACAGAAAATGAAATCATATTGCCCATTTTCTGTTCATTTGCATAAGAATTTCTCAAGTTTTTCAGAATATAAATGCACACTTGAGATAAGCAAAACAAACCTTGCTTAACCCCAATCACACAGTTGTAATAGGATGAGTTTCTTACCGGGTGGCATTTTCCAAAGCCCTGGAAAAGGATGAATAATCATCGGTTGAGTGTTTGAGGGAGTAATACCACGTAGCTGCATCTTCAATGAACGAGTTTGAGTCTTCTCCTCCTAGAGAATTTTGCAGAGCCTGATAAAAGGCTGTTTTGCTGTTGGCTCTTCCTTGACTTTCTTCAAATTTCTGAGAACAAAATGCATACGTGGAATTTACAAACAAAAACAAAAGATAGATTTTTAATGGAACAATACAGGCTCAGATCTCCCTCTGCTGGAACGAGTCCTCTCTGCTGTGATCTCTGATTCCTAGGGGAAGAAGTAGGGAACAGTCCTACTCTTGCTTTCCCAAGACTGTCACCAGCCAGCTGTATTGACTTCCTCAAAACATACTATAGGACTGAATCCCTAAGCTGGTAAGTCCAAATCATAGGTACAGTGCTGTGCAGATGTAGCTCTAATACTACAGAAACCCAGCTGGCTCCCACAAAAGTAGTCCACATGGATAGTTTTCCAGTGTGAGTGTGCCCAATGCTGTCTTTCTGATGAGCTCCCTGCCGGAAAACTAAAGGGGAGAGAGGGAGATATTGCTCCTTTCCTTTGGAAAGTCCAAAAAGCAAACATGCCATACAGCCATTTCATGGCTATATCACTCTGCCTCTTCCGGGAACACCTACAAAGAAATGTGGCTGCCATAAGACCTGTATTTAGGTCCCTTCTGGACTAATATCTGCCTTAGCCCTGGAAGAGAAATCCCTCTTCTCCAAATCCCAATGAAAGCAGCAGCCATGCTCTTCAAACTTCATAACCCCTACGGCCTTTCAGAGAGACCTACCTTGAAATGACCTTTTCCTGAGATCTGTGGTCTGAAATCTTTCCTGACATAAAGGCATTTTCCCCAGAGCAGAGTGCCCATGTCACTGCAGAATTACTGATAGCAGGGTGGGTGACCATCTTCCATGCCAAACTGCTTACCCGACCCTATTTTTACCAAAGCTGAAGACTGCTGGAAGTTTCCACCACATCCCTCTTTGCGGAAGTTTTTTATTTTATCAATTCAGACTTTTCACCTTTTTTATTTTAAATAATTTATTTCAAGTTGGATCAAGTCCTTTCTAAAGAGGGCACCTTGCAGGTGCAAACTGGCTGAAACTTAGTATAAGAACTCCAGAGAGAAAGATCTAATAAACCACCTATATTATTTTGGGCAGTCAGTCTGATGCAAAATAGGCTGGTGTCTGCCCAGTACAGTTACCATAGATGCTTTACTGAACATATTATTTTGATGGGCCACAGATGGTTTTCATCACGTAGCTAGGTCTTTCCACAACCCTATACAGAAAGTACAGAGGGAATAATTACTTTTCAACAGATTCACAGAAATGAAAGATGGAAAGTAAGTCCCCATCTGCTGAGGCCGAGGCCTGTCCTTACTGACATACTCTAATGCTTTTTGCATTTTGGTTAAGTGACTTTAAAAGGGATTTCAAAACACTACCAAATATCCTAAGGTCCAAAAAGATCTTAGCAATTTTCCTTGTATTTGTAATAAATTCTTCTTTTGCTATATTTTGGCCCATCCAATGTGAAAAGAGTCTTGTGGTGCCAGTTTTAGTAATACAGCTGTACTTCGAAAAAGATCTGCAACTCACGCATGACACGTCACTTCATGTACACAAATGCCACATACGAAACTGCACGGCACACTTGCCTGCAAAATCATTCAGTTTAAATACAGCGATGACACATATATTTTTCTGCAAGAACAGAAATTATCGCTGAAGACCTGACTGCAGATTCACTGAATTCAAAAGCAATATTCCCATCGGCTTCAGCACACATCAGTTCAGCTCCCTACTAACCAGCAGAAGAATTGCTGCTGTTTAATTAGGAATCTCTCATTTGGTGACTGGAGCTGGTGGACTTGGCTAGCAGATATGGATAAGAACAGATGCTTTTCTGTGTCAATGCAGAGCCCAAGCTCTTATGTGTAAAGCATCCTGTACAAAGCACTTTCATGCAATGCTTTCATTTTGTTGGGGGGTTTTTTAATGCATTTTTTACCTTATTCTACACCTGTCATGGATAACTTAAAACAGAGAGAAAAAAAAAAGAGGAAAAAACCTTAGAGTTTTGATTATGTACCCTAGGAACTGATCCTTCTCTGCCTCATCAACTACCAAGCATCAAATAAACATTACAGTTGAAAACCACAGAGAAGGAGATGCATCATCACACAACACATGGTTAAGCTGAGGAACTCCATGCCACATGGTTTTGTGGATGCCAAAATTGGTGAAGATGAAGTTTCATGAACATGTTTTTGAATTAAAAAAAAAAAATAATTGGTTGATGGTTATTAATCACAGAAAGACCAATTCGGGCCAGGAAGTCCCTGAGCTGCAAAGTGCTGGAGGTTTGGGGAGCATTTAGCAGAAGGGTCAGATTTGCTTACAAACATCCACTCTCAGCTACTGCTGAAAACAGCATTCTGTGCTAAATGGGCCTTTGATCTGACTCAGTGCGGTCAGTCTTAGGTTTTTACTGCGCCTATGTACTAGTTTCTGTGTTCTTCAAAAAGCCCCAAGAATTCTGGTGACCTTTCTCAGCAATCATTGATAATAGAATGGAGTCCTTGAGGTGTGTTGAGTCAGCTGAAAAAGCACTCAAGAGGCAGAGATGGATCAGAAACAGAACTGGCATTTGTAAGACATTTTGAGATTTTTCATCCCAACCAGCACTAAAGTAGCACAATCTGAAACACGATGTCTCAAGTGTCGCTTTGGCTGCAATATAATATAATTTAAACATCTGACTTTAACATGATAGCACAAGACAAAGCAATACATTCAAAATAAAACCCATGAAACATTAAAAAGACAATGCATTTTAACTTTTCAGAAGTTGATTCAATTTGACCAATTTTCCACGTCCAACAAATGTTTCCCATTAGAAAATGTATGATTAAGGAACAATTTTCAAATAGCAGTAGATACAACAGCTGCTACCAGATTAATAGTAACAGCTGCACATTATGTAAAATAATTTACATTCTGCTAACCTTTAAAGAGGTATTAGCAACTGCCCTCAGTTATAGTGGGGGGGTTTCAACTATTTTTAGAAAGTAGGTAAGAAAATAATTAAAGACAGCAGGTGCACTGCTTTCTACTGTTCTGGTGATGCAAAGCGGTCATAAACATTGTCTAAATAATGAGTTATATAATGCTTACTGTTCTTGTTCCCACAGCATAGCTTCTGGAGCATATGAATGAATCTGGTCCATTGTTTTATTTAAAAAGAAATTGTAGCAGTTGGTAGACCAAACATTTACGTCTTCCAAGGGGCAAAGTGTACTTTTCTGACAAACTGGAATAGTGATAATACTAACAGAATATGTACAGATCTTAGGTCTTAAAAGGCTTTTGATAAACGTTGTCACAAAAGATGGTGAAAGACCTGCCAGCCATTCAGCAGGGTGCTTCAAGTGTTTCAACCTGCCAGCTAGTTACAAGATGAAGTAAAGAGCTGTTATCAGCCCATTCTCCTCACTGATGGCACTTATCAGGACACTGCTCCTCTGGTCATTACAATTAATATACACATATCTGCCATCTGTTGCATGCTGCTGAATACCTTTATCCATAAAGAAATTAACTGACTAATATAGTGCAGGATGGAAGATCTGGTCTGCGTAGATCCAGTTGCTTACATGGGGTAAATAAACTATATTTCTATCTATCCACTCCCCTATGTCCTAATTCTGGGTTCTGCAGCCAGCTAGATTTGTACTAAGGAGGGAAAGAAAAAGAAAGAAAACACATAAAGTGCAACCTTAGTCTTCCAACTAAAAAGAAACTTAACAATCCTTGCAATGTGGAGATTAGATAGTAGGCACAGAACATATGGAGGACATAAACAGGGCCGTACTGACTTACATGCATCTACAGACAAACACAGATATAGATCATCATGAGTGACTGTATATTTAATGCCAGTTGGAACCATTAGATCCTCCCACCTGAGCATCACATATAGCACAGGGATAAAATTTTGCCCAGTTGGGAATTGAAATCAACACTTTTAGAGGTTTCTGCTCAGTTGCCCTAATCTATGACTGCTCAAAGCTAATGTCCCTGAAGGTCTGCCATGGGAATTGCAGTTAACGGGTTCAGGCTTAACCACTCCATATGCCACATAATAGTGCATTATGGCACCACTTGCCATTCCCTAAAAAAACTCTGCTTTGTTTCTCACTTAGTTTCAACCATCTGATGGCTGCACTGGGGATGAGTACGAAGTGCTCCAGGAAGTGGTAAATCTGTCTCAGCACACGTGAATAAGCATTCAAGTGAATGCCATAAAACGGTCATTTTCATGGGCAAGACATTGAGCACGAATGTTCAGCATACGCTCTGCTGCAAGCATCACTGAGAGACCTCAGCCTTTAATAGTAACAAATCAAACATGAATGTTTTGCTAGCACATAAGTGGTGCCTTCTGTCTTTCTATTTCATTTTTAATGGTGAAGGTCTTAACAGGCATAAGCACAGTGTTGCAGGGGGAGTACAGAGAGACCCAACACAACCAAATGCCAGTAAGCCCCCACAGAACAACATGGTGTCAACTGGATTTACCACCTTCAGGTCTGGTTGCAGTCTAGAGGTTTTACCCTCACTCCTAAAACTCGACTGCTAAGAGTTTATAAAACTTGCATGCAACTCCAGTCTAAGGTGATAAGATTTGCATCACGCCTCAAGCTTGCTTGCATCCAAATGGCTAAAAGTGTCTCCTCACCATTTGCAGGATCAGTATTAATAGAGCAAGACCAGGATTAATAGAGCAAGCCCTTGGCTGAATTTGCCAGCACAGCTATTCCCGGGAACTGGTGGAACAGGGCAGCAGGGGTTAAATTTTTCTATCCCCCACTCTTTGCATCTGACTACACTGAAATCAGTCATCCTAAAGGAGGTGGAAATGAAGGACTTTTTGCCAATTCCATACACTTGCCACAGGACCTTTCAGCTGTGCCATTTATCTACCCAAATACATGCGTGGTTCTTCTCTCTACAGAGTTGGAGCACATCCACAGATGGATTTTCAGCCCAGGGAGGTTTGGTCCCCTCTTTGTAGAACAGATTAAATAACTTGGTTGTAGTCAGAGGCAAACTAGGAACTATGTCTTGGTTCCCTGAGTTGAGTTCAGTGCTCTGTCCGCCAGCTAAGCCCTCCCACCTTCCTTAGCATACCAGTAAAACCAGCTTTGGGTTTCCCCAGAAAGATGCAAGTCAGATCTACCTCAAGGGAACCCTGAAAACGAATAAAGTAGAAGAGTGGGATACAGTGTGGGTTGTCCCAATCCTTCTTTTAGGTCTATTGTGGGGAGAGGACAGTTAGCACAGATCAAAGATCCCTTATGACATTATGACAGAGAAAATAGGGCACAGACTTCTCGGTAACAATGACCACCCGTACCAGTTTCTGCCACTGTAGCTAAATACGTCTGTGGCCTACTCAGGACTTTATCATCTGACTGACTGCAACCATGCATCGTCATGGCTATGATGTAGAAATGCTCTTGAGGACCTGGAAAATGCATGTTCTTAAATAGCTCAATGATGGAGGAAGTTTCCCAGCAATTAATACACTAACTGTGTGGACAAGGAAGAAATCAGGAAACTTTAACCTTGCAGCGAGTCTTTAAGAAAACAATCCCAAGACAGGAATACAGACTGGTCAAAACAGTCATATTCCCTCAAGCCCTAAAAACCTGAAGAAAATAGAAATAGAGGAAAACCTGCATTAAAAAATCATCAGTTCTTACTGAGAACATGAAAACAGCTTAAGGAAGTCAAAAGGGAGAAAACAAAATATAATCACCTACCATAAACATTATGAATTTTCTAGAATAGAGATGGAATCTGACTTACAGCAGTAGCACCAAGTAAGGTAGGTACTATTATAATAGCTAGTAAATAAGTTAACTGTCCTTCTAAGTAAGGATAGTTAAACCCTTGCCAAAGGAGATCAGAAGATCTCCAGCAGTAGGAGATTTTAAAACAGGTCTTTCAGGTTGCAGTAGATACAACCATTTCTTAGGGTTGAGTTGCACTAACTTTTTGAGTCCCCTTCCAATCTTATTTACTGCAAGCCTTTAAATAAAGAAGATATTCCAGATTTTCTTTTTGGAAAGACAACATTTTATGGCTGAGCTCTCAGTTACAAGTGTTTTTCCTTTTCATTTCAACCTGACAGTGCTGGCTTTTAGCACTTGTGGCTTTCATTAACACCATGATTTGTTGCATAATTTCTAATACATCATGGAATTTCATTTCGGTTTTGCAGACAACCGTTACATGTTGAAATAGTGGTAAAGGAAAGAATTTCACTTCCTAGTCTTCATCACATGACTTGTAATGAGGTTACTGAGGTTTATTCCCCTCTCACAGGGTCTGGATCATTATCTGCAGGCCTCCAGCATCACAGTCCATTTCCTATGCCTGACTTCCTCTTTTAATTGATTCCAAAAGAGAAAGATACATGAAATAACAGCAGGAAATTTCTGATGGAGACTAAATAAGCAATATGAACTTTATTCAGGTGGGTCAAAAAGCATTCTTTCAAAGGGGTAATTTTGTCATTAATTCTGAAGTAAATTGGTCTATGTGTTATTGGCTACCAGCAAAGAGAAGCTGGGATTAACCTTTCACTGCCTCCTAAGAGATGAAATCCACAGTTACAGAAAGATAGCAACAGACCTGCAGTTCACTTAGATAACCTTCAAAATAGTCCCTGTCGTGTTACATTCTCCTGTCGATTTCTTAGCACATATCCGACCACGTTGGAACATTTAATTTAATTTGGCAGTGTTAAACAGGGAAGTGCTATTGTTCCCATCGTAGAGAAGGACAAATGAACTAGAAGAGTTGATGTGCTGTCTCAAGAACAGACAGTGTCAGAGGGTTCACAAGAAGATGCAAAATCCCTCTGGGTAGACCTTCATGCTTTTGACGACTTTTATGTCCAAAGTACAGCACGGACACAATTCTTTTTCATTTCACCGGTTTATGCCCCGATACCCTAGCCCACACATCAGGCCAGTGCTATTCTTAGTCATAGCTAGTCCATATTCAGAATCATCTTTACAAGAAAACGTACTTCTTAAAGGCAACAGAGAAAAAAGGTTGCCACAAAAAAAAAGTTGGCATGGAAAAGACTGACTTAGCCCTGTTGCACAGTGAAGAACTTCATAACCAAGTTATGACCTTGCTTTCTTCTTTGTGATACACAACTGAGATTGCAATATAAATAGGATTTCAGAGACAGTAAAACATACTGCTGCATATTAATACACGCTAAATCATTGCTGATCTTTTACCTTTTCATATCTTCCCCAGTAGTTTTAATCAACAAATATAATAATGCCATTAATCAGCCTAAACAGGACCGGCTGGAGATCAACAATGCCTTTGCATATTTGCATGAGGTATAATTCACAAATTGTAGAAATCAAAAAGGATCTGTCCTGGCTGCGTATGATTACCGTCATCACTATAGTAATAGTAATACTATCAGTTCCTTAACAGTGAGTCTCTTCCTACCTTAATTGCCTTAGCTCTGCTGATCAACCCATCTTGCTGAGCACTTCCAATGAGCAGATCTACTTTCCAAAGTTGAGGGCGCTGCAGGGCTTTAGCTAAAGGTTCCTGAAGGTAAATTCCATCCATCACTGGACCCCAGTACTGGAATGGACCACTTATAGCTAGGAGCTAGATTAACAAAAAAGCAATAATAGTGCAGTTAAATTAGCTCACCCTGGTCATTTCCATTTTACTTATGTTTCAGAAAACTGAGCTGATAGCCTTCAAGTGAACAAGTGGTCAGTTAATGTAAGTACAAACTCACCATTAACAGGAAGCAATGCTTTTGCTGACAGTTTCAGTAGGTGAAACAAGGCCAAGAGGCCTTGAATAGGCCAAGAGAATTGATGGTCTCATAGTCATAAAAATATTGTTTTAAATTAGGGATTGGTTTTATGCTGGTCCTGACCGGAAAATGTATTGCTGGTGGGTGTTTTAATCTGTGGGTAAAGGATCCGTCTCTAGAATCATTTATACTGCAGCTTTCACAAGTCTCCCACTTAAGAGACAGAGCACTGATATTCCTCTCCACTTACTTTTCTACAAAAATGCAGTTACTGAAGCTACAGACACTTGATTCTCCTCTGGAGTAACACCCAGGGGCAGATGAGAGGGGGCTGAAAAAAGGTGAAAACTATATTTAGATTAATTTCGGAAGACGTGGTCAAAGTAGTATAAAAGGAATTTAGGCTAAAGGAGAATCAAGCTGTGAGTATTCATAGGTCAGAGGTGGATGTCATGGACATCAGCATCACTCCACCAAAGCTAGTCCAGTTCCTCTTTCACAAGGATTCAGCCAAATTTATTTTTTAAGCTTCCTCACAGCTTTGCGTCAATGGAAACTTTTTGATTCCTTGCCAATGGCATGTATTTTCCTATGGTGTACCTTAGTCTGTGCATCATTGAGGACACGAGCAGGCAACTGGCGGAGGCAGGCTACAATTTCCTCAGTGGTGGATGAAGGGCATCCCACATCTTCAGCCAGGACCGCTGCTTGGGTCTGTGCTCTCCTCTTAGTAATAATGGATGCTGGAGAAAAAGCTGAACCTCCCTGGAAAAGAAAGACAGTATCAGTCAACACATACTGTCAAAACACCCGGTCGCCTGGTGCAGGTAAAAAAGATGAGAAGCAAACTCTGCCCAGCTGCAGAATGTAAAACACTGGTATTTAAATCATAAGAAGCAAGTTTGAACAATCAAAGCAAAGGGGAGAAGGATAGGTTTGGCTGTTTCCAGCTCTGCCATGGTTATTTTGGAAGACCTCTGAAAAGTGTCTATGTTATGTCTATAACCAAGTCACAAAACTTTCTGAAAACTTTGCTGGAAGGAGAAACATTCAGACAGGAGCAGATACAAAGAAGGTGCTGTGAAGCACATCAGGGAACGAAGAGCCCATCTTACAAGAGAAGACTAAATAGAGTTTTACTTCCTTAACTGTGATAGACAAGGACTGAGACCAGGCATGAACTTTATAAAGGAATCCATGAAGAAGAGCTATTTATACCTTAGGACAATGCTGGTACAAGGCCAAATGGGCCTATTCATATTGAGTATAAATAAATTTAGGCTAGAAACTCTAAGATAGCTAACCCAAGGAGCAGTGAGAGTTTAGAAGAGCTATGAGCAGAGGTAGTAGGAACAAAAGGCTAAACCAAGCTGCAGAAGATCAACCAGAGCCAGAGCACATCAAAATCGGAGCACAGGCTACAGTCCAATCTCCATCCCAGACTCTTTGTTTCTTTCCTACAGCTGTGCCAGCATAGAAAAGGTCCTCACCAAGAAAAGATGGTACAACATTGTTGAATAACCACAAAAACTGCTTATTGAAAATGCAGATAAATTAGCATAAATCTGATAAGATCTGACCTAGAACAGAAAGGCTGGAATAGCTCCAACATGGTTTAAATGACTAATTTCCAAACATTTACATCAGTTTACTATAATAACTGCTAAGATTAGCTTCCGTCTTCTAAAAAAACCCAAACCCTAGATGCATGATATGAAAGACCCCGATCTATTCAACTGATTAACTTACTTCTTACTGAATTTGCTCAAAGCATAACTAGAAGTCTGAAAAAGCATAAAATCAGGAGCGAGTTAAAAAGAAACAGAAAACAGACAGCAAATCCTTAATTTGAAATTGTCTCAAACCTTTGAGCCTGAAGAACTCTGTGCAGCCCTGGCCAGCACCCAGGACATTTTTTATATTTCAAACAAGAAGACCCATTGATACTAATAGGATACCATTGCTCACAACTGGATAAATTGGTTTCCAAAAATAATTAGAAAGAAGTTATTGTTTGGATGTAGAGACAGTCTTCTTAGTTCACTGTATGTAGAATTTCCAGTGCTATTACCTTCCTGAAAGGTTTCTCTTCCTTTTTAAGGGATCTGGAAAACAACAGCTAATAACACTGTTATTAGCTTAATGACTAAGATGCAGATGGTTGCAGATAAAAAAAGGAAAAAACTAAGATTGTCAATCCTGGGGCACTAGAAGAGCCGTCTCTGGTTTTAAGAGGGCAAAGAACTAAAGAAGAAGAAATAAACACCGCTTGGTCTTATTCCTCACTTCCGCCCTCAATTTAGATGAGAAGTTGAGTGAGCAATGGGCTTTATCCTCACGTGGGATTTGCGGTGGCCTATTTTGTGTTTGTAAGGCATGATATTTGCCAGCTGCTGACTAGGTACACTGACTCAGTTGGTCATGAGAGAGAAAGAAAAATATCCTTGATGAGAGTGTCTCTGTGTGGGGGTGTGTCCCCAGGATGCAGAATGAGAACGTTGCTGACCTTCGGAAAAGCACGTTCACTAGAACTAGGATGAGTGAGACTAGAAAAGGGATAACACGGCATGCCAGCTTCCCTCAGAAGAGTAGCTTCCTTGCTTTTCATTTGGAGCAAGGAATTATGTGTCTCCTTGTTAGAGCAGAGAAATTAGATCTAGGATTGCATAATATCTATCCACTAATCTGGCAAACATATTCTTCAACATCAGATCCGAACGTGCTCAGCATGTTTTATCAAGTATCCAGTACCTCTAAATGGCATTCATTTAAAACAAAACAAACCAAAACCATAAAAAACTAAAGGGCTTCAACTTCCCAAATTCTGAAAGTTTCACAAATTTTGAAAGTGGCAGTTTCTGTGGAAATTCTGAAGTTGCCTTATGAAAAGGTTAAGTTTGGTAAGGAAAGAGAGTACTGAGATCAGATGACATACGGAATCCAAAAATCCAAGCAAAACATCCTAGAGCGTGCTTGATTTTGAACACATCTCCTCCCAGGGATTTTAAAAGCTGTGCAAAGTTCCCCTGTCTCTGAGATCTCTACAAACTGAAAGACTGCCCTTGGGTCAAGTACTGAGTCAAACAATGATTGCAAAAGGTTCTGGATAGGACAAAAGTCCTCTCTGCAGAGGGAGAGCTAAAAGCCTGGACAGGCAAATCTTCATGTCACAGCACTGGATGGGTATGGGCTAGCATTAGATATGGTCCAATCTTGACGAATGAAAGAAAAACCCAGAACTTCTGCAAATACATTTGCAAGGTGAAGAGAGTTCTTGTTTGGAGCCTTACTCTAGCTGTGGATATCTTCTCTTCTTTGCATGAGTTGTTAGAACAGGTTTACGTGCTCTTCTTTATTCTGGTTTTTTTTTTCCTTCTATTTTCCATGGCAATGGCCACTTCCTCAGTTTGCTTTTTTCGATAACATCCGCATTCCGGAAGCATGCCTTGCATTTGAGGTTTGAAAGAGATGTGGTATCCACTACAGTTATTCATGTTTAATTTTTATTGGGACTGGAAGCGGGTGGTAGAGGAACTTGGGATATCATTCAAGCAGTGTTTGGAAGCAATACCGTTATGTTCCCTCCCCTGGTGCATCTGAAATACGTTCCAGGCTCTGGAAACAAGGCTTCTCTTACCGCAGAAGTTAGGCACGCAAAACTGTACCAGTTCTCTGTTTTTCAAATTCACATCACAATTCAGGCTCATTGTTTCCTCATCCTCACCAAAAAAACTCAGGAACAAATAAGTAAGAGCAGAAGCTGGAGACTGCCCAGAAGTAAATGTCTTCCTTTTTGAGCCTGCAGTTTTCACATTAAAAAGAAATCTTCCCTAAACGCTGTAGCCACATTAGAGGCAGGCTCAAGACACAGAGGATAACATAGCTACACTCAGCATTGGAACAAATAAGTAAGAGCAGAGACTGCAGACTGCCCAGAAGTAAATGTCTTCCTTTTTGAGCCTGCACATTAAAAAGAAATCTTCCCTAAACGCTGTAGCCACATTAGGCAGGCTCACAAGACACAGAGGATAACATATCAGCATTTCCCTCTTTCTCTATAAAACTGTAATTTATTTGTGTGATTAGTCCCAGCAACCAGTAATGGAGGAGTTGTGGCCTTTAGAAAGTAAGACTATTTAGGCAGAAGCAGAAATAGCAGAGGGACTGTTCATTTCCATTACATGACACCTATATTACCATCAACATGACAGAATCATGAATCAGGAAACCAAAAATCATGAGATCAGCTCAAAAATAACAAACACTCTGTTCTTTTTGTTAGTCCTCCATTTTTTAATTCTCCAGGAATTCTTCTGTACCTATAAACACAAGAGCTAAAAAATTCATTTTTAAAACTAACAGCTGAGATCTTCAGATAGTCCTGCAGAGTAGTTTTTTGAAAGCAAACCTCTAAAGAATATGATATACAATAAAATTGCGAACATTAGCCATCTTGCCGTCACAGGGTATTTCCTATCTCATCATCATTTTTGAAGGGCTTGACAGTGAACTGAAGCCACACACAGTTCTTGTTTCAGGTGTCCTTACGGATTGACCCGCTGTCATCAGAGGAAGTTCCGATGTCTTTTTTGACAACCATCTGGATGAAAGCATTCAGCACTGAACTGCTGAGAAGAAGTGGTTGCAGCTGTGTTGCACAATCCTCAACAGCAATATTACACTGTCCTCCTAAATTCATAGGAAGAGTGGGGATATTACTATGGGCAATAGTTGGGCAATAGTACCTGCTGTAACAAGTGATGGCATTGAAAATAGAAGGCAAAGCTTTCAGTACTATTTAGTTCAGGGACCAGCAGCTTCACAAACATTTCTTTATTTCTCTTTGCAAAATTAAAGGTTAAGCTAGACAGTAGAAATTCATACTAGGAAATGTTGCAGCTCACAGTGGTGAGAAGCTGATGAATGTAAATCGGTATTACATGAAGAGGAATTCTTGCTTTGATGTAGGCTGTGATCGGCTGAGTTGTGGCTGGTACCTCTTGCAAACTTCTCTCTTGGGACATCAGAGCTCACAGATCTGTACTGGTGCTATCCTGTCCATCCCAGTTCCCCCTCCACTTGTTGGGCACATCTAACTATTCTCATCTAGACAAATGCTAGCTTTCTGCTTCAGATGTCTCACAGTTCAGGAGCTTTTAGTTATATAGCACCCCTTGCTGCTATTCTGATGAGATAATAAAAAAGAATATATGGACTATTACTGTAAGTTGTACCTCTGTCTCCCAACATACCTGGAAAAGACAATAGCCATATAAGCTGCAGTGCTGAATGTCTTTAAATTCCTCATTTGCTCTGGAAACTCACTTCTGCAAAGTTTTTCAAAACTGATTCACAACTTCTAACTATTAGAAACTTCACTGCAGCTAGTTTTTATCACCCACACTCTGTAAACCCAAAACCTTCTTCTTCTCCTCACACCATGACCTCTTGTTTTTCCAACCTGACTGGAAACTGAAAACGCTGCTTGAGCCACATTCATCTCTTAAACACATGCACTCCCTTCAAATTAATGCAGCTTGATGGCTGCAAGGCTGCAGACTCCTTATGAAGCAGGCTTTCTGTCTGCACAGAAGCACGCTATAGACAATACAAACAGCAATATCAGTAACACCACCCAAGAAGCAAGATCAAAAAATATCTAATGAAAACAGTCAAACCAATGAAATGACCTGATAATTCTACTTTCCCAAAAGAGCCAGCTGTACAGCAATATTTTATTTGTTAAAGATAGTGTCCCTACACAGCTAGGCACTCTCCAGGCTCAGAGGCATGCAGTTCACAGCCAGAAGTATCTGTCAGACCATCTGGTTTGACCTCCGGGATAGCCAAGGCTCTTCCATTTCCTGACTGCTGAGCTCAAGTGCTTCCTATCACTTAAAACACGGCTTGTGTTTGACTAAAAACCGATCTTGCATGAGGCATTTAAGCTGGGCTCAGAGACACAGAGAAATGGATACCGCAGTCTTCTCCTTTGCAGTTTGTGCCTGAAGATAATCACTCCACTGAAAGGAAACTGCACCTTATTTCTGTTTAAGGATGTCTTCAGTTTCAGTTAATGCCAGATTAAAGAGAAGGTTTATATCCTTGTTTTCTCCCTGCAAAAATAAGCAAGCTGCAACTAAGTGACCACTAACTCTTCTTTCCAATCAGCTTAACAGATTATTCTCTAAAAGACTGGATTTAAAGTATTCTCGGAAGTTGTTTTCAACTTGGGTCCTTTTTGGTTTTTTTTCTTGAAGGGTTGTATTCCAGTATCTTGCATTGCTTTTCCTTAGACATCTAATTCTGCATAGTGGCAAGTGCTTACAACACACCAAGGTTGCAGGGCTCTATGTGAAGACATTAATGTCATTTTTTCCAGGCTTGCAGACAAAGTCTGTCTTCAAGAACCTGGAGGAGTCAAAATCTTTGGGACCAACTCAGGGAGTCTCTATCACAGCTAAGAAGCTATTTGGTAGACATGTGGCAAACACTAGCACACGAAGTGTAACAGGGAAATGGCAGGTCAGTTCAGCAACAGAAAGGGAGATTGAGTTATAAACATTTTTCCCTCCATAACCATCTACTAGAACTGTGATTTCCAGATAAAAATGGGGGAAAGGGGAAGGTCCTCCCTCTTGTATCAAAAATAACATTTTGAAGAAGGAAGATTTCTTTTTTTATGCACGAGTCTTGGCAAATCTCTCTTTGCTGTAACCAGAGGCAGCCCTGCAACTGCAATGTTCCTCTCTCAGGTGACTCACTGTGTGCCTGTGTCAGGTTAGTGACTTGAATAACAGGGTATGAATACTTTTAAGATGACATATAAAGCTGCACTAAATTCATTTCAAAACTTTCTTCCATTTAGATGTAAACGTTACGTTATCAATTATCTTATCATTTAAAACAGGTTATTAGCTGAACGCATTTAAAGGATAAACTGGCTCTCATTGCACAATGGTAACTAGCCACCAGAAACAGCCAGAAATGACATGGAAATGGAGAATTTTATTTACCTCCCTCCACTGCAAACTCATGTGTTCTTCTACAAGCATGGTACAAACCATGGCTGAGATTTATTGTGTTTCCAGTGGAGTATGTTCTATCAAGCAAGTCCAACCTCTTCTTTAACGTGACCAATCTTTCCTGCTCAGTCTGAGACCTGCCCCATTCGGGAGTGCATCTTGGGACGTAACCTGACTTCTTGCAAAGGCACAAAGACTGTCAGAGCCAGCCTAAGGTAGATATTGGTGAGAAGGATCAGGAAAAGGCAGAGCTCTACCCCTGCCTATTCCCATGTGTGGTGCAGACATTCCCCAACCCGTGATCTTTTAGTAATTCCAGAAACATTGTACATCCATTTGGTGAATGCCATTAGGAAATGTGCACGCCACATCCCTGTGATTTGAAGAAAGCAATAAGGTCCTAAATGATCAAAATATAAGTGGCAGGGATAATCATGGGGCATTATGGTAAAACCAGCTCCCCAGAGCACTGGCTACAACGCTGTCATGGCTCTGTGTTGTAGACTGATTTGCTTATCAAGCTCCCTAATGCTTTCCTGTCCCTTCAAGGTGAGGACTGCTAGCACAGCCCATCAAAGAGAAAGGATATTCCCCTGTAATTACCATAGGTCCAAATTTTGGCACAGCTTTGGGAATTTGATCACTGTCTCCTGGTTCCAATAACGCTTACACAACAGCTCCCACACTTGTCAACTTTTAGTTTTCATCATCAAACAGATTGGCATTACAATGAACATGTACTCAGAGCTACTCCGGTGTGAAGTAGGAACTCTACTTGGGTTTGCTGGGTTTTCTGGTGGTTTGTTTTGTTTGTTTGTTTGTTTTAATTTTACTATACAAAATTAGGTATATGAGCTTTTCAGATCACATCTTGATCGTAAAAGCAAAGGGCAAACCTTAGTGAGTCCCTTTGACTTCTGTATTCATATCTGCAGTACTATATACCTGAGGGACTTTAGTCAGGTTATTTAACAGGCTAGTATCTTGTTTTCCCCATCTCAGACACTGAGATGAGAGGTCCTGGGGCTCCTGCTTCTGCACTTTGTACAACTGATGTGAAAATGTGCTTCATAGACAGGCTTTCACTCCATATTCTTTCATTGTTGGTATTGAGCTTCAATTATTTGCCAATAGAGGTGTTTTGGAGTGCAGAGTAAAGAATAAAGCAAACCTTGCATTCCCATCCAGTCTCAATAAGAGTAGAAAACAAAGTTTTGTGCCTCCTCCTGTCAGTCTGGAAAAAAATAGCAAAACTACATAAAACAAAAGAGTTGGGGACTGAACATTACTGGACAAATAAATTTGGAAGGAAAAAAAAAGGAGAAAGAGAAACTCTTTCTGTGTAAGTAAAGTAAAACACGTTATTTTTCTCATTTTTTATATCTGCTCAAACCAGCCCTGATGCAATATGTTGAAAAGCTCCCTGTTTTCCTCAGCCCATAGATAAAAAGTGTCTTGAGTAGTGACTTGCAACAGGAACCTCATCGGTTGCAAACACTTTGAGCCTTCCTTATTTCTCAGAGAGGAAGTATGTGGCCTGTTTGGCAAATGCTGCTCTACATGACAGCGTGAACTTCACAGCACACTCATTCGACCGGCTGCTCCTCGACTTGATCAGCTAAACCTTGCTGGCAGCATGAGAGCAGTATTATGACTACGGCTTTTTTGAGAAATACTTCAACCTGGAATATCATGCCTAGCTTTTAAAGGTAATCATTACTTTGATACATTTTAGATTATCTGCATACGGGAACAACTTTTTCAATTTTATTTATATAAAAGGGAGTTCTATTTCATTACCAATGACAGTATTCAGACCATGGATTTCAAGTACCACCAAAGGTAGTAATAGAAAAGCCTGTCTTGATCCTTTTCATAAGGAGTGGTACTTAAGATAGAAGGGACAAGGAGTATTTCTACTGAAAGCTCACAGTAAGCTAGATGCATAGGACTTTATGCTGAAGTAAACTGCAGCTCACTATAACCCAAAATATGAGAAATGTCACAGATTAGTGGGCTTTTTATTCAAAGTGTTAGAAGTTTGCATAATGTGGTATTTCTGTCTTGTTTCATAGTTGCATGTTTTTGTGAATTACCTTGATTACAGCATTACATTGTTCTTTCTAAGTGCAAAGGTACAAGTGCCTAAAAGCTGAAAGGATGCTCATTTTGATTCACGACAAATTAAAGGAAATTCACCAAAAAATATTCAGCTTCTGAAATCTAAGCTGCTTTTTTTCCCACATGAAAAATAACAGGATGCTGGTGAATTAATTGTCAAGATAAATGGGATTCAGATATTACCTGTGAACCTTATTGAGAATTAAATTCTAAGACCTTGGCGGTATAGATGTGAATATCAGGTAACAAAAATAAAATAGGGTAGAGCATCTCAGGAACGATGAATGTCCTAATTTTACTAGTCTGCAGTGTTCCTTGCAGAGGGGCTTTACTCAGGTGCTTATTTTGCCTTCTTATCTCTCATTATTTTTGTTTCTTTATATTTACTAATTCTCGATCATTTTAAATATAACTTTGAAAAAGTTCTTACAAAGAGATGTACTTTCCTATGTGCCGTCCTATTTAACTGCTCCAGAAGCGCATTTTCTCAGAGGACAGATTCTGTGAGAGGAAATTATTGCTACATGTGCTGCATGCAGGAACGGAAGGTGTAAATTGCACCACAGGTTTTTGGGACCCACGATGTAGGTCAGTGAGATTCCAGTCTTGACAGGTGAAGAGTTCATATCTGCTGAGAGTTCTGCCACTGATAAATAGGACACGAAGCAGGGCTGGGGCTGTAGATTTTTCCTCACATTCCTTTTGGCAGCAAAAATAAAGCAGTAAAGATCACTAAACCCCACTAGATGCGTGTTGGCAAACTACTATGGCTGCAACAACCAGCGATCGTTAAACAGCACGTGCACAAGTGGAAAGGGGAGGGGAGGAAGGGCCAAAGCTTGGAAGACTGCAAATACAATCTTAATGGTTAAAATCTAATTTCCACACAAGCCTGAGGAGGTGGTCTGTGAGCGGGGAAAGCCACCCTTACACCTGCAGGTAGTTTGGTTTGCAGCCCAGCATCACAGCGGTTCCTCCAAGCTGAACAGCAGCTGCACTCCTCCATGCAGGGCTTTAGGTTGCTAAGACAAGGTGAGCTTAGAGTCTATCACCTCCCCTTAATTCTTCCCAAATCACCCTCAGTGAATGATTGTCTTTGGATCTGGCATAACTATCTGCTTCTACGACAGAGGGATGCCATGTCTACTCGTATCCCAAACTCTGTCACCAAATTTAAGTGAGATGCTGTGCCTGGAGCAGATTCGCCATTTCAAAAGAATATCATCTATAAAACTGTTATTGTTCCACTATTGACTTACATGATAGAAAATTGGCTCAGCCACAAGATGCTCTACAGTTTCCTGTAAGTCTATTTTTGCAGAGTATCTCAAAATTTCAGAAAACCACCATACAGTTTATCGTATAGCAATACAGTGGATTTGTATTGCGCTGCCAATACTCGATGCAAGCACAAGCTACTTAAGCCATTAAGTTCTATCACGCACTTGAGAGTCATGTGCACTGTTGTTTTAGAAATACTTAGAATACTAATTCATACACTGTTACTCTAAAAACAATGACACGCCATTGCCAGCGAGCAAGTAGAAACAATCTTTTGCCTCCCCCCACCCCGTTTCAAACAAAACTTCCAATTTCTTCCATTTCCATCTGATTTTCAAATGTCTGAGAGTTGAGCCATACCTCAGGACATTCACTCCACCACCTTTGACTGGACTATAGGAACCTTTACTCTGCCCAAATGCATAGCGACAAGTGGCCTTGGTGGTAAAACCTAGTCTGATATCTGTCATTTTCCTTTTAATCATTTTGGATAAGTGAATCAAGAGCAGTGGTCACAGCTTTCCATTTGCTTATTTTTATTGAACACTTCTGCCATGAGTCTAGAGAACATCTTGAACTCTCTGTCCCTGTCAAGACTTTATGCTGCCACCAATGGTAATTAGTGACAGTAAAACAGGATGGAAAAGGTAATGAGACACAGCAAACTGTCACACTAGTGACATCAAAGTCCAAAACGTCATTGCTCTTCACTCTTACTGTAAGTACTTTATAACATTTGTATTTTCCATAAGTCAGATTCTTCCACATCTAAAGTAGCAGCGCTGAGCTGCACGTTCTGTTCTGTTGACTTCAGAGATGCTTTGAGAAGAATGACGATTTGTATGGCAGAAGTGAGCCAGGCCAGTTTTGGATGTGCTCTGCAAAAAATACAAAGTAGGCACATGCCTGTTTTCCGGTCCTTAATCTGTCTGGACTAGACCGCAAGTGGTTTAATTACAAATTAATACAAGCAAACCTTCAGAAACACTTCAGGTATTTTTAAAGCAACATTTACAGTTTAGACCCCTAAATACCATCTAGAAAAACGAAGGTGCCTTGTTCGAATGTGCCGTGCTTTTAGAAAGTTTGTAAGTGTGAGGTAAAGTTTTCAGGAGTCTTTCCATCATGTACAAATGCTACGTATCACTTTCCAAAGTGACTCAGGCACACCTGAAAATTGTATCCGCTGTATCTTAAGAGTAGGAAAAAAGCCTTTGAAAGCACTCTGTCACGAGCCTGATCGCTAGTAGGATGACTTGCTCTCCTGGCCCTCAAATACCAAGACCCAGAATAAAGGGGTACATAGAGGTAGGACTCTATTATTTTTATTTTTCCATACTTTTGTGACACAAAATTCAAGTACTATTCTCATCTAACAATTGCATGTGTTAAAATTATAGATGGGCATAAGATATTTATGCTGCCATGCTTGGCACCTATTTGGAATTGCACAAAGTTTTTGGTAACTGCAGCTTACTTACCATACACTTAGCCAGATTTGAACTGCCCTTTTCCAGTACTGCAAAAATGCAGCTACTACAGCACAGAGCTCAGCAGAGGTTATCTGTCCAGGTATTTATCCCACTTCTTTGGCTGACTTTTTCAGCCCTGTTGAGCTCTCTATTGCCATGCCCAGGAAATTTGAAGAAATTAAAATTGGGTCTTGTGAAAAAATATTCATAGTTAGTTCAGGAAATTATAATCTTGCAAGTAGACAGTGCCTGCCAAAATGAATTCTGATTTCAGTCTTAGAAACTTAGGTGCATTTAAATGGAGAATGATTTTGTGTTGTCTATCAAGAGAGACCCTTTTATTCAAACATGAATACCCAAATAGTTTATTTAAATTTAAGGCTACTTTTTAATTCAGCTTCTAGACTTCTTATATCAGGCAATGAAACAGTTTTTTGTTCTTGTGAAAGCAGATTTCAGACACTTGTCAGAAAGACACTGACACAGCTGCATCCTACAGATGTGCCACAAGCTAGTTCCTGAGTGCAGGCAGTGAAAGGGTAACGTGCCATTTGGCCGGTGAAACGGAGGCTTCTAGCAAAGAGCCTTTGGGAACAAGCACTAAGAAGCTCAAAAATCAGATGAGGTAGAGTCAAACTGTGCATTACCATCTGTTTTAGCACTGATCTACCTGCATTTGATAAGAGACAAATTCTCTTTCTTTTGAATGGCATTTTATTCTGTAGGGTGCCTTCCTGAACTCACTGTAAGACATCAAAAATTTATGGTATTAAGCAATATACTCAATTCTGCCAAGCTTATTCCAAAAGACAATTAGTAATAAAGTCTCATTAATTTCAGCAGTACTGCTTCTCAAGTTAGACACCTCTCCAGCTAACACCGTCAGGCTCTAGCCTGTTGTAAGTAAAGAGCAGCACACCAAATGCAGTAATCATCTTTGAAATATTTAAGCTAGAAAAGACTGAAAGATGCAGAATACTCACATGATGCTGCTAGAGCTCCCGTTATCATTTTCACAGGGCAACTAACAGAAATATATTTTTAAAAAATAATTACCTATCAGCTAGCGGTGTTGAGTTATTTTGCTTTAATGAACAATTTCAAAAATATAACTTATTCTAATCTGTCTCTGAAAATATACCATAGCATGAGACAGCTTCCACATCCAAAGGGTTTTTCTCTCTGTCCTCTGTCAGGGAGAATTAGGATGGGTGCAGTAAAGCCATGAGAAGGAACTGTCCCTCCCACAATATTTAGTTCCACGGTTGTCTGATACTGTTTCTTGTACATCCACCAAGACTTTTTAAGACAAGTATCTGAAGAATTTGCACCTCTGGCTTTATGCAGGAGGAGTGTTTTGAGATCAAACATTTTGGCAAGGCGTTATACTGTTTCTTGTACATCCACCAAGACTTTTTAAGACAAGTATCTGAAGAATTTGCACTGCTGGCTTTATGCAGGAGGAGTGTTTTGAGATCAAACATTTTGAGGCAAGGCGTTACTTTAAAAAAAAAAAGAAAAAAGAAAGAAAAAAGAGGAAAAACAACACTGCCTACATTTGCTGCGAGCACAACTTCATCAGAAAAAAAACCACCAAACAATGTTCTTAGTGTTCGGCAATAAAGCGACATAATATACACACAGCGCTGAAAACCAGATACGTCAATCTAATTAATTTCTTTGTAGCTTCAGAACTCCAAATGCTGAGAAGAACATTTTGTATATGAAATGACTGTACGGGCATGGCTTTACTGTGACTTCCTATTGTGCTGAGGTGCTGGTAATGGAAACTTTTACTACATTGCGTTCTTCTGGGCAACTTCCCTAGCTGTGGTTTTCTGCTATTCCCCTGATAAAAGCACCAAAGTGGTGAGAGTTTAGCAAGTATGTAAAACTCTCACATGAATTTGACACAAGAGTTCTCAAAAGCAAAACTGTATAAAATTGGAGACACCCAAACTAGGTCATTTCTCATCTGTTGGCACAGCAGGTGTTATTCTGATGTTTAATTTCAGTGTCTCCTTTGATTTAGTTCTGAAGAACTTTGACGGAATTAGAGAGCGCAATGGGAAATACTGTGAAAACGCCGAGAGCCTCCGAAGAAACACATGTGTCGAGCCAAATGGGTAAGCACTCATTTATTTTCTTTCAAGAGAAAAAAGATGTTCAAAATCTATGACACATTCTTCCATGTGTCTTCCTTCATCCACCTGACGTAGTAAAAGTAGGCAAGTGCGTGACTGCTGTGGGCGAAGGAGGGCATCCTCTAGGCAGTGCTTATTTTTAGGTACGTTCTAGCTCGTTTTCCAAGAAGTACTTTAATTAAAAAACCCAAATGTTAAAACTATTATTTGCTGGTGCTCCTTGAAAGACCTTCCTTCCAATTTAGAAAGCACTGAAGCACTACTTCAGAAACCAGAAATACTGTATTTTGACATACTTGTGTGTGATATTTTATACAAATTTGTTCTTGAAATTTGGTTTTGCTTCATTTAAGGTTAAAAACCTTAATGATGTTATGCTTGTACTGAACCTGAAGTCCACTGTCAGACAGTTGCATTAAAAGTAGCACGCAGCCAACTTGTCACTAGGTTTATCAATAAAGGTTATACAGAAATACACATTTCACAGGCCAAGCTGCCAAAGGGAGGTCTAACACATCTGCCTATGCATCCACACGTGAAAAAATCAGGTTACAAAGCTCCCCCCCCATAGGCTTGTAGAGGTCAGGCATCTGAGGGGGAAAGCAAGAGGGATTCAGTGACCTGCTACTCCCAAACTGCAAGTAAGTAGATGAAGAGTCAGTACAGCCTCAGCTCTCATGCCACAATTCGACAGACAGCTGGTACAAGAGCTGCAATAAATCACTCCCCAAAGGTGAGGAAAAGAAAACAATTTTGGTTTTTTGCTTTGGGTTTTGGTCTTGGTTTGTTTTTGGTTTTTTTTTAGAGGGGGAAGGCATTAATCAAAATTTTGGGGTTTTTCATGAAAGATGGTCCAGCTGTGCTGCTCATTATTATAAGGATAGGGAATCAGCCTGGTTTCATTAGTGCTGGAAGGAAACCCAGCCCTGCTTTTTGCATGGCCAAGAACTATCTGATACAGGCAGCCATGTAGCCCTAGGTCCTAACAAAGCAGAGACCAAATACTGTTAATGGCTACTCAGAAGCCCATAACATGAACTAACTATTTTTTTTTTGTGAAGAAGAGTGCCTTATGTTGGTATGCCCAACAACTGCTGTCATGAATACTATAACCATCAAAACAGAGACATACACGCACTCAGAGCAGGACCTTGCTGACGAGCAGGGGAGTTGAGGGGTCGTTGCCATAGCTGTGACCAAGTTTGTATTGGTCCTGCACAGGCTAAAAGTCAGGATTTAGCAGGGCTTAAGACAACTGCATCCCTACCAGTGACGTAAATAGAACATAACCCTAAAAGATAACTCAGGAAACATTGATAGCACAGTGATTGCAAGGGGAAATTACCCATTTAGGAATTCGGGGCTTGATCTATTTGCACTCTCCTACATGTCTAGCACATGTAGAAACGTGTTTTGTCAGATCCTGCCTGACCTTCTGCTGCCACTTGGGGAAAGAACAAGTCTCCCATAGCTGCAGTGGCATCTGCCAAGGCTGTAGGGATGGCTCAGACACTCACACAGCTGAAATTGCACTGGATACCTATGTTTAAGCACTCAAAGGCAGCTTTTTACCACAAAAATGATTAAAGTGATGGAACACCTTTCCTATGAGGAAAGGGTGAGAGAAGTAGGGTTGTTCAGCCTGGAGAAGAGAAGGCTTTGGGGAGACCTTACTGCAGTCTTTCAATACTTAAAGGGGGCTTCTAAAAAAGATGGCAGCAAACTTTTTAGCAGGGCCTGTTGCAACAGGACAAGGGGGAATGGCTTTAAACTAAAGGGGGGTAGATTGAGACTAGATATAAGGAAGACATTTTTTCCGCTGAGGGTGGTGAAACACTGGCACAGGTTGCCCAGAGAGGTGGTGGATGCCCCATCCCTGGAAACATTCCAGGTCAGGTTGGAGGGGGCTCTGAGCAACCTGATCTAGTTGAAGATGTCCTTGCCCACGGCAGGGGAGGTTGGACTAGATGGCCTTTAGAGGGCCCTTCCAACCCAAACTTTTCTATGATTCTATGATTTGATAGCCTGCATAGCTCTTTGGATCTAACTCTTAGTCTGGATCAGACCAGCATCTTTCATAATGACGTAGATGTTGCTAATTAAAGTTGGGAATACAAACAGTACTGTCATCCAAATCCAATGAAAACAGACTTTTGAAAAGGAACTTCGTACTAAAAGCATATATTGGGGTTAATCCAGTGAGTTTGTATCTATTTGTCTTCCTGAGCAGACCAAACTCCAAATCGCATCACCAAATACAGATTTCCCCCAGGCCATGAACAGCCACCTTTGATTTAAGTGAGGTGGAGGATCCAATCCACGAACTTACAACAGTCTACATAGTTATTAGGAAAAGCAGGTTTTACACTGGCTCATTTCAGTGAGACTGAATAAAATGAAGGACTGAAACAGAAGGGAAAGAAAGAAAGAAGGAAAGGAAAGAATATCCAATAAGAAGGGGGAATAAAACAGGTAATTGGAGTTTGCAGGCTTGATCTGCAGCGTGAATTTGTTCATCAGACCCCTATAAACCCCTCGTGCTGCCTGAGAGCTGCACTGAAAGCAAAACCTTGTGCTTTCCTCACCTCCAGTGCATCAGTGTTGGTCCTGAGAAAGGGAACAGTGCACAAGCTGCATTTCCCAAGGAGACATTTGGGCTCCAAATATGACTGCACTCCATCTGAAAGCACACTTTATGGGCATCCCTGGCATAACCTAGGTACTGATAACACAGTAGCTACAGCAACAAGGGGTCATGAGGGGTTGTGAGCCCACCCCCTTCTCTTTCCTCCCTTGGGACCCTGAATCAAGGGTTAATCCTTACTGAGCTGCACCTGTGTAACTCTCAGTTCCCAAGCTGGCTGGTTTAGATCTAATTTGGGTACACCAGTGCGACTCTGCAGCCACACCTTACGGCTGCTGCGCAGACAGCCTCCCAGACACACACGAGTGCTCTCCTTTACCCTCTCCGGTATACACCATGCCATAAATCATAGCATTTCTGCTGGACAGTAAAGCTGGCATGATGCAGGCAGCTGAGCTCTGAGCAGCTCATTCCCACTCCAGACAGGGACCACGCTCATGCACAGCACAGCGTTTTTTGAAGGCGATGAGCTGGATCTGGTTGCTCTGCCTACACTCTCCCTTCTCTCTAATAGTGCTTCATAGTCCATTCAAAATGAATAATTTGAAGCATGCAATATTCAGTCTCACACTTTGCAAGACATCCAGGGATGCAGACATCTAAACCTAGCATGTATTTCATATTCATTTCCTACTCCTAAAAAAAAAAACCCCAGAATTAACACCTGATTCAGTGGAAATGACTGTGCTTCGATCTTTCCACTCTAACTTTTGAGTTGTTCCATTGCAGATGTAACCTACACTAGCACTGTGGAGGAGAGTTTGCGTTAGAAAAACTCAGGCAAATCTTCTTTTTTCTTTCACAACTTAAAAGTGTGGGGAGCCCATCAGATCAAATCTATTAGATCACTGTGAAACTTAGGTGTGGAGAAACAGTGTAATTTGTTTAGTCCCTGTTTCGAGGCTTTTGTGTTTGAAAGGAGCTAGTATGGGTTCTGTGAAATGTTGCAGAGTGCGGTGGGGTATTTTACATGACCAAAAAACCCAGTGAGGTTTGATTTAAATACCAATTAAAATGAGGCCTTGTGTGTAGTAAGAGAGTTGAAAGGTTAATTGAAAGGGGTAATACAAAACCCATTTACTTTCACTCTAATGTAAGTACATGTAGTTTAAGTGGTAACATTTGCATGGATGTAGCAGCCAACACTATGATTAATTCCTTCCTTTTCAGGACTACAAATTAATGTGCAAAATTGAAACAAAAACGAATATAAAGATGAAAGTGTAAGCAAAGTAACACAGATCTCGCTAGAGTAGAGAAAAAGTCACATACCCCACAGTGCATAACGAAATGCAAACCACCGGTACGCAAGGAAGGAGAGCAGAAAAAAACCTTGTTTTCCACCCTTTCACTATGGAAACAAAACATTTATAAATAAACAGCATAAGTTTTAAAAAAACATTGCTAAAAGCATTGTCATTAAGCTAAAAAAAAAGACATTCCATGTAGAACTGCTGTCTAACAATCTGCAATGAGAAATTAAGCATCAGCACTTTATCCTCATGCTGCAATTCTTACAATGTACTTTCTGGCATATATTTCTTGTAGTCCTGGGTAAAGATTTTGCTTTGTTGAAAAAGACTCAGCATGAATACTTAGGTCTTGTTAGCCTCAGGTACTAAGCAGTTTCATAGACAGAGAAGGTGTCTCTCAAGTTTTAGTGCAGAACAGGGAAGCAATCAAAGGCATTCTTAGCACAGAATTTCTTCAGTATAGTTGAACTAATCATATAATAAGTTACAGTAGACTAATCACGGCAGTTGGCTGATTAATACAAAGGTACTGGACTAGTTCTGTTTAATTCAGTGACACTAATCAACTAAGAAAACCATGGCAATACTAATACTAAACACTAATCAATGTCTATTCCAGACTCTACACATCTATGCGTCCATAAGGATACTCACTAACTGTATCATGGGGCTCCTTCAATGGGCAAAGGCTAGCAAGACTAAAAATGTTTACAGTCAGTTTGAGTATTAAGGTAAAATGACCCACTACTTTGCATAACACAAGTCCCTATAACATAACAACAAACAGCTACTCAAAATCAACTGAGAAAACACTGCTTTTTATTTCCTTTAAACCACAGATATGGGATATTTTCCTTACCACTTATATTCTCATTATCACTGCTGTAAGGATAACCAGTGTAAAATCCCTCCTCTTGAAAATATTTCTTTTCTGCAGACTTGCGTGTTTCTTTCAGCCTTTCATCGTTATCACTGTGAGTTATCTGTAAGGCCCTGGGACACAGAGGCTGAAAACACAGAGCCACCCTCAGCATTCATTCAGGATGCTGTTTCTAGGTTTCCCTAAAAAACCGTCTTCCTTAAAGACAAGTTGATGAGGAATCTATATTAAGTGAGAAAATCTAACAAGATACAGAAGCGTGTCTAACTCTCTGGGTAATTTCTTTCTCCTCTCCCCTGAATTCATTCCCATTTTTGCACATGTTGAGCTGCACAGAGTGGACAAGTATGGAGATCAGACCACCTCTGCAAATGTACTGCTAGATGATATTACTAAGGAGCGGGGCACTGACCCTGCTGGAGGCAGAAGGAAAGCTTTGTCTCTCCGTGTGCTGGTGGAGAGTACTGCGACATGCAGAGGGAAGGGACCCACTTCCAGGAGAAATGCAGGCAGCGTATTGCAGGATCTCTGCTGCCAGGACTTCTGCCAAAGAGCTCAAAACACCCAGCATGACACATTTCTGAATCTCCCACCTGTCAGCATTTACTGGGCACCACAGATTCCTGCTGGATGAGGAGCTCTTGAACATTTGATAGTCCCAGTCTTGTGCAAAGTGCCTCCTCCATCCTTCAGAAACCCAGGAGACTCAGCACGTGTCCTACACAGTGCTGCAAGGCCCAGAGTCATCCCAACTGACGTAAAAGGTCTTCTTATCTCTTTACTGACCTTAGTTCTGCAAATGTACAACGATTTAATTATAAACACCCATGTTGCCTCTCTTCTTTAATTGAAGATAAGGGCATCATGTGCTACGTCTACTACAGTTTCCACTCAAGGTAGGGACAACAAACCGCTCTGGCTGTTCATCAAGTTAATTTTAAGAAGTGGTGGGAAATGGGCAATAATGGCCACGCTCTCATTGCCCTTGATCTAAACCAATTTTATACCTTTGAAAAGGTGTCTATCACTATCAGTGGTGTTAAATGATAGAACAATTCAACATGAATCTTCCTTTCCTTAAATGTAATGCATCAGCTTGGCTCAAAATTGTAGCTGGAGGCATTTAGAGACAGTGGCATTAATCAAACCGGGTTACTTCCTGATACTATAAATACTTACTAATTTTGCTAGTTTCAAACTGAATATGTCCTTTAAATATGGTAATTACTAGAAAAAGCGGTCTAAATTTAGTTGCTTACTATTAACCAAATGACTTTTTTTAATTTCTAATATCTTCACATTCTTCTTATAAAGTTATAGGCTCATCTTTAGCTCTTTATGTTTATCAAGTGACATTTCAGAGTGAGATTTTTTTCCCCATTTGACCTACTATGTAAAATATAACACACACAATGAAAAATCCATTTCTGCTTCAAAACTCTAACTTGGTTTTAAGTGACATTTTGTTTCTTCTTTAACAGGTCAGGAGAGTGATTTCCTTGCTGTCCTCTATGACTATCCTTCAGCAGACATAAGCCAACCTATATTTCATGTAGGGGAAAAACTACGTGTGCTATCAGAGTAAGTTGATCCATTTTTTTTTTAAATTAGGTTTTGTTACAATTGATGCAAAGCTCTGTTTTATGCACCTGGCCCAAACTGGATGCAGTTCAGCAAAATGAACTGAGTTCAGAATTTGCAAGGAAGGATGCATAGCCATGGTGCAAATTTCCCTACAGTTTAAGGATTTGGGATTTCAGATTGTTCTTTGATCCTTGGATTCCTCTGACATGTTTTCTGAAGCTGGATTCAGACTCTATTCTAAAGTAGGACTCAAAACAGAATTCTGCTTTGAAAAATGATTTTAAGAAAGTATCCCCCCCATGTTAGTGGAAAACAGAGAGAGAACAAAAATAGTTTGAATCATATAGAGAAAGAAAATTATTCTGAATTTCTCTATGTCAAAGGTGTATCTCATTTTCTCTCTCACCCTTTTATCTAACAACTCCTTTATGATTATGTCTTAGAATTTCACCCTAGAGTTAAGGCAACACTAACAAAAATAATCTCTCTCACCCTTTTATCTCAGAACTCCTTTATGCTTATGTCTTAGAATTTCACCCTAGAGTTAAGGCAACACTAACAAAAATAAAATTAAAAAATAGCTTTTTTTCTTCTTAAATTTTTTGAGTCTGCATTTTCTTAGTGGGGGGAAAAAAAAGGTCAAAGATTTCCCAGCCAGTTCCACTCTGAAAATTTATGAGCCCCAGAAGGAAGTAGGCTTAAAAGCACTAGTTCAGACTAACCTTAAGCACAGTGCAAAAATTGCCACAAACACGAGTGAGCACACTTCTTGAAAAATGGAAGACAGCAGCCCTAATATTCTTTTATGCACAGCCTGTATCGGCACACAGTGACCTTCTAGAAGTTACTCAGCCCCACAGCCACTGTTTGCACTGCTTAAACAGAAATTAAAGATTTCATTTTTGCAGCTGGTGGAGCAGATGGATTCAAGGGGAGACCAGACACATCATAGCAGAGAAATCCTCTGAGGATTTCTAAATTCATACAAAAAATTCTCTACCTGAAGAAGTCAGAGCGTCAAATGGTTGGAGGGCAGAAGTACTCAAGGGAAGTATGACAGATGATAGGACAGAAGTACACAAGAGAAGTATCACAGATGATTGATGAATTCTCAGACTCTTCTCCAGGCCACCGTGACCTACAATGGCCTTTGTCAGCATCAAGATACGGGGCTACATGGACCTTTGGTCTGACCCAGAATGGCTGCAGTTATGTTCTGCTGACAAAGTGCTTTCCCTGCCTCCCTGAACCTAGAGGTCACAAGGCTCAGACAATACCACTAGATGAATTTTCTGCTGATGAAGAGCTTCCCTAAACCAGGGGAATTCTTCTCTGGTAAATTCTAACTGTTTAAACCTTGCTGCAGTTTGCGTAACATACACGACATGGTACAACAATTGCTTTAGCGTGGAAATTCCAGCTTAAAGCCTCACTCCCAGCTTTCATTCAGCTACGAGCCCTCACAACACCACATAACTACATATGTCCGTATCAATGGGAATTATGTGTGTGGCATATCATACGCATACATGTGCTGCATAGTATGATCTACTGGACGAACACCTTCTAAAAGAACTAGGCTTCTGTAGCAGCAGTTTTTATCATGTTTGTCTGTTGTACAGTGACCAAGAGCTTTTCCTAACAGTAAATAAAAGCCAAAGCAAGCCTTGATGGGAACCTTCCTCTTCCTGTTTTGAATCAGCTTGTTCACAGAAGACGAGACACTCCAATGCTCTATGCAAAGCATAGTGTCCTAATGAAGGACCTGTTCTTCCCTACTGGGGTATGTGCTGATGTTAATAGGAACCATTTGCCTGCAGACTCTTGCTGTACATAAGCTGTAGGTATAATCTTTTTCTCAAGTCATTCAAAGCAGCAAAATGCAGTGGAAGAGAAGAGAATGGCAGGCATGACCAGAGCACGAGCAATGAGGAGTCACCACAGAGAAGCCAGCATGAGCAGGCAGCACGTACTGCTTTTATAATGGCAGCTTTTCAGCCTTCTACCAAAGCAATTATGTGTAGTGGCAATCAGCCCCACCAATCCTGCCAGGAACATGATATATGGAACCCCCATAGAAAATACAACTCCTTACAGATATTTGTGACTGCTCTGGGTTGGCAGGATTAGATAAGCACCACTGGCACAGTTTCCCGCTCTCCATACTTGTCAGGCACCTTTCATTACCAGATGAGCAACTGCATTTAGCTGCAGTAGTCAAACCAGATGTCCTCCAATGATCCCCCCCAAATCTACATAATTTCTGTGGCTCCTGCTCCAGGACACATGTGCTGCTTTGGGACTTTTAATCATCATAGGGACTTTTCAGGGTCAGTAATATTACAGTTTGGAGGGAGGGAGATGCTGAGTCTCTCAGGTTTTTTGTTATTGCAATTCTTGGTTCTGTCTGGGAGAGTTGTGGGGAAAAAACCCAAAATAACCTAAACTTCTCATAGACAATTTCAAGTCAGCTGGAAACCCACAAACAACACTTGTGGGGCCCTGAAATTTCCAGCTCTAAGCAATAGACACTTCCTTTTTCCCCCTCAACATACACATTCTGGACCATGGTCCCAGCAGCTATAACTCAGGAGGTTTAACCTAAGTGTTTTTAACTCAGCTGTTTCGACATACACTGAGACTCTGGTCTGAAGTCCGGGTGTTATTTGGGAGCATTTATGTGAACCTCCACAAAACCAGCATTCAAACACAAGACACACTATTATTTGGATTCAAACTCTTAAAGGAAAAGGTGGAGAGAACCCATCAATCATCAGCGTCCTGGCGCTAATCACTAAAGCTCCGCAGCATCCCTGTGAAAATTCTTGTTACCCTGCCCTTCCTAAGGGATTCAAAAGCCAAAGCCAGCATTCAGTATCACAGCAAGAACCTAAGATATATCAGTGAAAAAACATATGTCTAGTCAACTAGTTTCAGCTATGAGGTCTTTTTTATTGGAGTGTGGTCAGCAACTCATTGAAGAAAAGTAAAAGAGCAAACCATGAACCAGGTTCTGTTAGACTGAAAACCTGTTCCCAGGCAGACAGGGTCCATTTGCTGAGTATCTCCACCCTGATGTTACAGGAGTAACTACAGGGCTGTCCAGACACAGCATACTCAGCCATAAACTGAACGTCTTGGATACCAGTACAAGTCTCGCTGTGGGAAGGCAGAGCACAGCATGGCTTAACCACTGAGTATTTACCCTTCTTCTTTTAACTACAGAAAAATATTTTATTACTTACGTAACTTAAATGGAACAAATGTAGCTTATTTCTGCATCCAAATTTAATCCTGATGTAGGTTTAGAAGTGGAACTACCGTAAATGAAACAAACTTGGGTCTCTTTCTGAATACGTAGATTCAGGAGCACAGACAGAAGGTTACAGGCTAATCTGTATGTCTTAACTAATTTCAAAAATGAGGACAAGCTCTGAAAGTACATCTGAAAATATCCCTTCTCTTGCTTTCACACAGTGAAGGAGGCTGGTGGAGAGTCCATTCCCTTACAACAGGTCGAGAAAACTATATTCCAGGAAAATATGTAGCAAAGGTTTACCACGGGTAAGTAAATGCATTTCCTATAGCCTTTCAACACTATGTTTCTACATACACTGCCCTGATTAGTTATTCAGTGTCATAATCAAAACAATGACAACAGTGACTAGACAGACAGAAATTTTATTTATTGACAGTCTAAAATAGTTCCTTTGAAATCTGAGAACATCAAATCCACATCTAAGTTTATTATATGAAAAGAAATTTGTATTAAAGGGAAAATCCTAGTTTTAAATGCTGGAAAGGGTCAAAAACCCCTCAAATATCATATAAGTCGCATGGACTGATCTCTAATTTTAAAACATCAACAAAGACACCCTATTTAGAAAGGATTTTTAATATTTACAAAGAGTAAAATTTAAGCTAGAGTTGCTCATGAAAAACAGACCAAAAAGAACAAATAAAAAGACTAAGTTATTCAAGAATGTAAACTCTCACACTGCAAGAGCTAAGGAAGGTTCAGAGCTTTCTTGTTGCCCTAGACACCAGTCAGGAAAAAAACATTAAAGCACATACTTAAAACTTTTCTGGCAAAAGTCTTAATACCTGTTTAATTTTAAGCATATGAACTGTGAACTTCACTGTGATTTATGCAAGTGCTTAAATTTGAATATGCTTTTATATCCTCCTGAAATAGAGATGCTTTCCCAAAGACAGGGCACAGATATGGTAATGAAAGCTACTGTCTGAAGCTTCCCCAAGACCATTTTGCCAATAGCAGACTGGATCAAACACACAAGAACAACTTTAAAATAAAGTGCTAGTAACTCCTACAGTTACAGCAGTGCACCAAGCTATGGTGAAAACCAGTAGGACTAATTCCACTTTCCCTTATCCACAAAGCCAATTAACTTAAATGGCTAGACTGTTCCCTAGCATAAACAGAATAATTGCATTTTATTTTGGGCTTATTTACGATACAATAAAATACAATTTGGGGTTAACAGAAGTGGTTTAAATGAAAAAGAGGGATTTAACTAATGCCACAGATATGCCATCAATATACCACATGGATACGTCCCCAACAATTCAGATCAAGGCAGCTCAAAAAGTTTTTTCCTAATAAGTCCAAAACTTAATCACTCTTCTCTTAGTCTCACAAAAGTTAATGGAACTCAAAGACAGCAAGGTTTTCTCCATAAATTTGGGAAATATGCCTGGACATAGTTGAGAGAATAGCTACAGAAAGGCAGTGTTATTTTTGCAGTCACTTTTCCTGGCTAATGCTGCCCTTTCACGGCCACATGCTGCTCTCTGTTTCACTGGTGTCCAAATTTCAGAATTTGTTTTTTTCCTGCTTCACAGCTGGTTATTTGAAGGGCTGGGAAGAGAAAAAGCAGAGGAACTTCTACAGCTACCCAACACCAAGGTTGGCTCCTTCATGATCAGAGAGAGTGAAACTAGGAAAGGTGAGAAAATACAATTTTTTCCCTCTTGATCTCAGGCATTAACAGTTTTACAGCTTTTTAATTCACTCCCTATCCTGCTTCATATGGATCAGTCTGAAACCAGAAAATGTATGTAATGGGAAGGCAAAGGCACCCAGTGCAGCATGCCAGTCTTCACCAGTCACCTACGTTACAAAGCAGTACTGGAAACAGGGTTAGCGATGGCCATGGAAAGTTCCACAGGCATCAGCACAAACAAGACACAGTTGTTTAAACACTATTATTTACTTTGGTCGCATGCAAAGCTTATTAGGCAGTGGGACCTTTCAAATGGAGGAAAAGTCACAGCTTTGCCTTGGTCCACAAAAGATTGCCTAAAGAAGCTGTAAAATACACACCAAGCAGTGGAGGTGGCTGATAAGTGCATTTCCTATATAAACAGGTGGTTCTTTTATTTACTTTTAAAAAATGCCATGCCTTCAATTTTGTTTTCTTTCATAGCAATTCTGTTGCTACGTGGGAATTGTACTGTATGCACTTTATACTTTTATTCTCTTCCATGGGAACACATCTCCCATTGTGCAACGTGATATCCTCCCTTTTCCTGAAGCACCAGAACGCATTCTAATGTCATGCATGATACTACAGTTAGAAGGGAATAATAAATCATCTACTCTGACCTCTTGCATACCACAGGCTAATTAGTTTCATGATACCTATAATAAATTCAAAGAAATTTAGGATCAACATTCAGTCCTTACCAACTAAACGCTGCACAACAGTTTTAAACAAAGAAACAGGAAAATCCAAGCTGTCATCTCCTGCCAGGACTGCATTATCAGGTATCAGCTACTGCATTATTGGGAGCTGACTAAAGCAGCGTACCAGCACGTAAGTCTGGTCCCCCTCTTCAGAGGAAGGCAAACAACTTCTGTAAAGGCCTATTTCCTTTACACCATTTTAAAAAATCCCATACTAGCAAAAAAAAAGGAAAAACACACCAGAAATTTACATTCAATCAAAAGTTAAGCCCCTGATGTTGGGCCCTTTATTCCCTTTGTTATACTTAAGTATATATATAAAGTATACTACATAAGTAGAAATTAGGATGGCCACTCAGTTTTTTTCAGATCTTTCTGGGACCTTTTGGATCATGGCACCACATCTTACAGGTACTCTGGTTGTGGTCACTGCTATCCATCCAGAATTAGGGCCCTACTTTGGGGTAATTAGTTCTCCTCTTTCTTCAGGGTTATATTCCTTGTCGGTGCGGCACAGGCAAGTGAAACATTACAGGATCTTCCGCCTTCCAAATAACTGGTATTACATCTCTCCACGGCAAACATTTCAGTGCCTTGAAGACCTTGTGAATCACTACTCAGGTAAAAAGAACTGCAGAATAAACATATTTTCCACTGGCAACTGTAAAACTATCTATCAAAGTTCCAGAACAAGAAATTTTGCCTATGTCCGAGACTTGCAACTGCTGCCACAGAACAAGGAACAGAAAAACTTTTGGTTTATGTCTTTTACTTTATTTTTGATCCTAAATACAAATATGCTACCCTTAACAGTACAACTGAAATCAACCCAAGAACTCAGCTAAATAAAGACAGATAGGCTCTGCCCGTATTGGTATATGATATTGTATGGCCATGTCAATAGAGCTGTCCCTAACACTATTTGGTCCAAACACTAGTGTCTAGCACTTCCCTAGACAGCTTTCAAATACAGTTTGGAGGTTAACACAGGCCAGGGATGCCCAGCCCCTCTCAGAGCACAGCTAAAGTCAAAGTTTGGGTGTACAAAAATGTTGAGCTGTACAGATGCAAGTCATGGTTCTGGATCTCAGGGACAGAGTTCAACTCCTGGCTCACTTTGTTTACTGGCATGGACATGTCTGCCATTTATTTATTTACCGTATAGACAGACAGATAGCATCAGGACATGCGAGACCAGGTTCTGCAATCACGTTTCTCTCAGGAACCACTACATCACACAACCTTATCTGCAGCAGAAAATTCCCAGAAATGTTGTTAGTTTCTTCCCTATTACTTTAGAAGGGTATGGCTGGATTTTATCAGCAGAAGTTATCTCAAGGGGCTCAAGCTGTTAGCTCAAATCTGTATTCAGCTGCCATTTTTACTAATATCAGTCCAGTGGATGACACCTGTTTCAATGATAGTTTTCCAGGTTTATGGCAATTTGACCTGTGTCAGAGAGATAACTTGACAAGCAACACAATTAAGCAGTTGCAGTTACCATGCATTAAAATGAGAACATTTTAAAATGAGGAAGATTGCAATAAGTCAATTGCATAAAAATTACAAGAGAACAATAGTTTCTGTGCTTTAATTAGTAATGGGTACTCTGTAATTTTAAAAGTGTAAAGCTACCATACCTGCATATTTCATAGGTAAATGAAAAAGCGTGTTGGCCAAAGAGTACTCTGATAAACTGGGGGGAAAAGCCATATTCACATTCAAAACATACAAAAGAAACTTTCAAGTCCAGTGATATAAACAGAGGAGTGAGAATATGGACAGGAATTTCTTTTTTTTTTTTCTCTCTCTTTTTTTTCTTCCTTACATTTTAGTTAGCTGACACCTTTCTCCATTTAGAAAGAAGCAAATAATCGAAGCCTAAAATTCGGGGTGGGGCAGAACCCAAAACTTATAACAATTAACATTTTTACTTGAGTTATAGGTGTAAGAGGAGACATAGTGAGATTTAGCTCTCCTCCTTCCCCCACCATGAGGTGATACACAATCTCACCCTGAAATAAGGCTCAGAGATGTAAAACACTAGCGTTCAGCCACGATGTTCTCTACTTGGGCAGAACAACATATGCAATGTTCCTAGGGGAGCAAGGAGAAGAGGACAGAGAGAAGAAACATAGATGAAAGTAACATGTGAACCTTGATTCATTCCATAGTCATGTTCCACAGCAGAATAGGTGCACGTACAATCCAATCATTTGAGCGGTTCCATCTTGCATCTATTTTATGCTCTGTTTGCATGGCTGAGACAATGGGAGGCAAAAGCAGAACTCACTGAGGACTCAGGAAACCTGGGTTTAAGTCCCTGCTGTGTCACAAACTTTCTTCTAGACTTTGGGCAAGTCACTTTATCTTTCTGTGTCTCAGTTCCTCACTTGTACTGTGGGAAATATAACCCATGATAAATTAAAAGGCAAAGGTATGAGGAAAGGAGAAAGTTAAGCCTTTAACCTAAGTTACAGTGTCCTTGCTGAGAACACACAATTTAGTGACTAATACTACTGTGTCCAAAACTGTTTATTTGAGCATGCACCAGGGAAGGAAAACAGTGAAGATAACAGTGAGCAAAGATTAACTGTCTGTGTATTCATTTCCCTGTTCAGAAGTTGCTGATGGTCTCTGCTGTGTCCTTACAACACCTTGTCTTACCCAGTGCACTAACAACAACAGCGCAACGAATCAAGTTCCTCCTGTGGTGATGCGGAATAAAAACTTCAACTGGAGAAATATTCACAGGTACCACATACAACACAGGCTGCCAGAAACAACAAGGTTTTTTTTCCAGCCTTGTATATACTTGTACTTACAACACAGAAGAAACAGCCATTTCCTTCTCCTGAGACCAGTTTTAAAGATTAGACAATCTTCAAAGCTGCTGACAGCAGGTTAACCCATGAAAACTGGATGTCCAGCTCTCTAACTGATAATCTTGGTCTAACTTTGAAGGAAAGTATAGTTAACATTAAATCATTTCTCCTATGCAGCTAAGAGTCAGGCCACATATGCAGTCCCTTTAGGACTCAGGAGTCCTTTCCACCAAGGGGGCAGGAGTAAGAGCCAGGCCATAAAGCCTAGCCAGATCCACCACCAATGGCACACTAACGTGCAATGGCTTACAGGTGAGCCCTGGTAGTCAGAAATGGCTTCCCCTTGTTCACATGGTGGCCATCCATGAAGCAGCACAGGTGCAATGAACACATTATCCCAGCATAAATCTTTCCTGCTGTCTCTCTCAATACACAGCCCAACTCAAGGCTCATGAGATTTCTAATATCATGACTGCAACTAGAGAAAGTAGGTCAGGTTTCAGAAGCTGGTGAAACAACCACCTTCAAGAAACAAAAGGACCTCTTGTTTTTGAAGTGTAAATTTCCCTCCACTACCCTTCCTTCACAAAGCATATTCATTTGCTTACAGATGCAAGAAAATTTTGTGCAGTATCGAGGCCATTTTTCCTACAGATTAAGAAGAAAGAGAGAAAGTATATAGACGTTATTTCCTTTTCAGATGCCGAAAAATATTTAGATACTACTGTTGTACTGATTATTTTGGAAAATCACTAAGTGATAGAAATGTTTGGTGATTTATGAGACAGGAAATTTTTTATACAACAAAATTAACATAATTTGGTTTAACAGCTGTTAATATTATACTAATAGGCTCAGTTCAAGTAGCTGAAATGGTAACAAAATTTTGTTCTTTTAAAGGCTGGAGGTGACTGAAGATACTGAAAGCACCCTGGCAGCAATGGATGATTCTTGTCTCAGCTATGGCCTGAGGGAAAGTATCGCTTCCTACCTCTCCTTAACAGGGGATGACAATGCTTCTTTTGCAAGTGCCAGAAAGAAGAAAGCCCAATCTCTTATATACACGGGAAGCAAACGTAAGAGTACCCTTCACTTGCCACCTACATACTATGAAGACTAAATGTAAGACAACCAGGGGAAAAAAAAACAACTGACGGACAAAAAAAATCAACTTCTAACAACTGTTAGAAGAGACACCCAGATCATTCTGTGGTCCTGCAGTCCTTCGACAGCTGAGAGATATGATGATTAAATGCTGGCAATGCTTCTGCATTTCCTCTTCTGAATGTTAACCAGAGACCTTCTTAAAGGTGCTATCTCAGCCACGGCATATGCTGGGAACGTCCCCAGTGCACCTGAAATTAGAACCTGTTCACAAGCAGGATAAACTGAGATAGACTCTAAGTCAAGAGCCAAGTGAGGCAGATGACTCTTCAGCAAGGGTGATGCCCACCATTGTACAAAGGTGGGGGGAAGGACTAACTACAGCTCAAGAACTTAAATTAAGTCTTACTCTGGTATTCTCCACAAGGCCGAAAACCATCTTTACAGAACCTACCTACATTGAGAAAAGGAGTCTTTTTCTTCTCCATATAGTATCATTCATTGTCATTGACAGTGGGTCAGAAAGTCATCAATAACCCCAAGAAAGTATCTGACATCTGGCATCCAAGAAACACCTGATTATATTGACTCCATACTTCCATCATTTTTACCTTTCAGGAGAAAAAATGAAAGTAATTGACTTTCCAAGTGACACATAATTCAACTGCTGGTAATGGCCTGCAGTGTCACAAAGTGGTCACAAAATTAAGAACAGGCTTAACTCACTGAGAAAAGCAGTTCCTGCTTAGCCCTGAGCTGGGAGTACAGGCATATCCAAAAGCGATTGACTCCATACTTCCATCATTTTTACCTTTCAGGAGAAAAAATGAAAGTAATTGACTTTCCAAGTGACACATAATTCAACTGCTGGTAATGGCCTGCAGTGTCACAAAGTGGTCACAAAATTAAGAACAGGCTTAACTCACTGAGAAAAGCAGTTCCTGCTTAGCCCTGAACTGGGAGTACAGGCATATCCAAAAGCATAACACAGCTGCTCATAGTCTAGCAGATATACAACAGAGAACAAAGGGGTTTTTAAGTAAAAAGTAAAATGTGGTAATACCATGCCTAACTGCAAAGGTAGGCTTGCAAAGGTGTGACATTTTATGTGTAGAGGACCAGATTTTAACCTCATCTCCTGAAGGCACCCCCATATTTATATATAATATTTATATTAATAGCAGCTTTTTAAATAATTAAACTAAGAAAGCAAATCAGCAACAGTGGATGGTTAAAGTTTTCCTG